TTTTTCTTATCAAATTTTGGATTTTTTTTTTTTTTTTTTTTTGGGCAGTACTAGCGATTGAACTCAGGGCCTCTCACTTGCTACACCTGCCCTGGATAATTTTTCTTAACACAACCCTTCTATATGAACTTTGTTAAAGACAGTTTGGAGCTGCAGTGCTAAAGAGACTGAACCCCATGATCTTAGGGACTGGGTCTTCATCCTCACATTATCCCTAGTTCCCTATTCTTGCGCTATCTTTGGTGCAGTGCCTGAGATGTAGTAAACACTCATGCACAGAGCTTTGTTAATGAATGAATTAATGAGGTGACATTAAAAGCACAGTGAAGCTGGGTGCCAGTGGCTCATGCCTGTAATCATAGCTACTCAGGAATCGCAGATCAGGAGGATTGCAGTTCAAAGACAGCTTGACCAAATAGTTCCATGAGACCCTATCTCAAGAAAAACCCATCACAAAAGGGCTGGTAGAGTAGTCCAAGATGAAGACTCTGAGTTCAAGCCCCAGTATTGCAAAAAAAAAAAAAAGCTCAGTGAGCTTTTACAGTGACTTTTTTTTTTATTACAGTGACTTTCTTAGGTTGACTGTTAGCATTTACATTACATTATCATCACACCTACCTCAGAAAATGTTTAGTTTTGTTTTGTTTGCTTTTGTGGTACTGGGGTTTAAACTCAGGGCCTCACATTTGCTAAGCAGGTGCTCTACCACTTGAGCCACTCCACCAGCCCAACATCAGAAAATTCTGAGAATCAAAGGAGAGGTGAGCAGCAAGAGCACCTATTCTAGGCTCTGACACTGGCTCAACATACAATTTTCCTTTCAAGAATAATTTCCTTCCTTTCTTGAAATAATCACAATGGTTCACAGTCCTATGATATTTCAAAAACCCTCTTTGAAGTCTTTGTAAATAGAGAAAATTTCCCTTGACCATACAGTCAAGGTGGCGTGTCTGAACCAAAGATCCATCTACTCATCTTGCAGATGACTACAGGCAATGAAATCTCCTTGTTGATGACTACGTGGTCACTTAATGTAGGGCCTGCTGAGACAGAAGGCACTAACCAAGGGGGTGGACACTCTAGGGGCTATAATTCAGCTAAGTGCCAGGCACTGCTAAAACAAAGACTATCAATGGCTGATCTCCACCCCCATGCTATGGATGGAACCCAGATCTTTGCACTTGTTAGCAAGCATATTTAACACTAGTCACATCCTCAGCCCCCGTGTGCACACCTTTAATGGCAGTCCATGGTCAGGTCTAGGGCATACAAAGTACATGGAGGGGCCAAGGATGGTGTGTCTGCTGGGGCAGCAGGGAGGGTGAGGACAATTAGTTAGGCCCCATGGGTTGGCTATCTTTTTGGTTTATAGCTCCCATACCACCCATGAGTCCCTATGACTCAGAGGAACTATAAATAGATCTGAGACTGTGTCCTGGGCAAGTGGAAGTGGTCCATGCTGGGGAAGCTGGGCAACCTTGCTGAGCTCTCTAGTCCCCAGGCCTAGCATGAGGGAGCCCAAGGGAGCTTCTGGAAGACTAAAGAGTCTCCCTGGACTGGACAGAAGGTGTCAGCAGCATGTGTCAAAGTGCCATGGCAAATATGAACTGGATTCTACAGCTACTTGGGACTGTCCATGTTTTTGGAAAGTATTGATTGGAAAATTACATTACAAAAATTTGAGAGGGGAGCAACAGCAATCTGAGAGAGTAGGTAATTCCTACTTTTATTTTATTTTGGGGGGTACTGGAGTTTGAACTCAGGGCCTACACCTTGAACCACTCCACCAGCTCCTGCTCCTGGCTTTTTTTCTTCATGAAGTGTTTTTTCGAGATAGGGTCTCTTGAGCTATTTGCCAGTCTGGCCTTCTGATCTCTGCCTCCTGAATAGCTAGGATTACAGGCTTGAGCCACCAGTGCCTGGCTGGTAATTCCTATCTTTAAACACAATTTGTTGAACCAATAATTGGTGTCAAGTATTTTTATATCAAATTTATCTCAAGAGAAGAGGCCTATAAACAGTCTAATTCAAAAATTCTCTCTTGCTGGCAGAGTGGCTCAAGTGGTAGAGTGCCTGCCTAGCAAGCATGAAGGCATGAAGCTCTGAGTTCAAAAAAAAAGGAATAAAAGTATTGGATTTGTTTGCTGGCAGAATGGCTCAAACTGTAAGAGTGCCTGCCTTGCATGTGTGTGGCCATAAGTTAAAGACCCAGTGCCACCAAAAAACAAAAAAAACTCTCTCGATAAAGATAATTTGTAGAAAAAAAAAAAGGATGGTTAGATAATCATTGTTTGACTAGATTTTTTTAAATGGCTGAGGGCAGCCGGGCACTGGTAGCTCACACCTATAATCCTAGCTACTTAGGAGGCAGAGATCAGGAGGATCAAGGTTTGATACCAGTTTAGGCAGATAGTTCGAGAGACCCTATCTCGAAAAAACCCATCACAAGATAGGTCCTGGTTTCTATCTCCAGCAACATAAATAAATAGAGGAGGGAGGGATGGAGGGAGGAAGGAAGGAAGGAAGGAGGAAGGGAGGAGAGAGGGAAAGAGGGAGGGAGGAGGGAGGAAGGAAGGAAGGAAGGAAGGAAGGAGGGAGGGAGGGAGGAGGGAGGGAGGAGGGAGGAGGGAGGCAGGAGGGAGGAGGCAGGAGGGAGGAGGGAGGAGGGAGGGAGGAGGGAGGGAGGGAGGATTATTAGACTGGTTAAAGGTCACTGGACTCCTCTTAAAACTGTCAGTAAACCGTGGGTGACTAGGAAAGACTCCTAAGCTTATTTATTTTAAGAGAAATGTTAATCTCTTGCTAGAAAGAGTAACAATGATAATAACCCACAAAGTTCTGCACCTGCTAAAGTGTTTTTATTTATTTTAAGTTTTAAAAAGACTTTATTTTTTTGCAGTACTGGGGTTTGAACTTAGGACCTACATCTTGAGCCATTCTACCAGCCCTTTTTTGTGAAGAATTTTTTTGAGTTGGGTCTCTTGAACTATTTGCCTGGGCTGGATTCAAACTTCAATCCTCCTGATCTCTGCCTCCTGAATATCGAGAATTACAGGCAAGCCACTGGCGCCAGGAAAGACTTAATTATAGTTCATTTGGTGTTGTACATTCTAGAGATTTGTACAAAGGAAGGTCACACATAGTAATTTCACAGCTCTAAAAATCCTCTGTGCTCATCTAGTTGTTTGTTTATTTGATTTTTGTTTTGTTTTGTTTTTTTAGCCCAGGCTAGCCTCAAACTCATGATCCTCCTGCCTCAACCTCCCCAGAGTTAAGGTTTTTGAACGTTTTTTTTTCTTGCTCATCTCCACAGCAAAACAACAAGAATCTGTTTTTATCCCATCTATATTCCCTGTGTTTTATTCCATCTAGATTGCATGCCCTACTTTTTCCTGATTAATGTGGTCTCCATCATGCCAGGTCAGTGTTGGGAATACAGCAATTTGTGGAGATTTCCACAATGGTGTTCAGATGTGGAGACATCTGATTGAAAATTACAACTGTAATTTTGAGCTGTGCTTTTGAAGCAAAGGAACAAGTTACATGCTCTCTCAAGGGAGACCTGTTTCAGACTAGGAAGTCAGACAAGGCCCCTATAAAAAAGTGACATTTGTGTTCACTAGCTTGTCGGGTAGGAGCTGGACTTGTGCAAAGCCCCAGGCCCCACAGAGCATGGCTAAAGAGCAGGGTGCAGAAACATGAAGTGAAAGGCAAACCAGCTAAGATTTTGGTATTTGTTCTAAGAGAAAAGGAAGTCATTGAAAAGTGGGTTTTAGCTGGGCACGGGTGGTTTACACGTCCAGGAAACAGGGCTGATGCCTTGTATCAAAATTGGATATCCTTTGTATAGCCTTAAATGAAAATTACAGAAGAGGCAAAGATCAAGACCTTAACCACTGAACTACATCATGTAATAAGAATGGCATGATATGGCCCGGTGCCAGTGGCTCATGCCCATAATCCTAGCTACTTAGGAGGGCAGAGATCAGGAGGATCGAGGTTCGAAGCCAGCCCAAGCAAACAGTTCAAGAGACACTATCTCCAAAAAACCCTTCACAAAAAAGGGCCTGGTGGAGTGGCTCAAGGTGTAGGCCCTGAGTTCAAGCCCCAGTACCACAAAAAAAGAGAGAAAGAGAGAGAGAAAGAAAAAAGTCAGGCTTTTTTGCTTGTTTTTGGTGGAACGAGGGTTTGAACTCAGGGCTTTGAGCTTGCTAAGCAGTCACTCTATCGCATGGGCAACACCTCCAGTTCATTTGCTCTAGTTATTTTGAAAATGGGGTCTCTCGAACTGTGTGCCTGGGCTGGCTTGTAACTCAATCCTCTAGATCTCAGCCTCCCAAGTAGCTGGGCTTACAGGCATGAGCCACTGGGCACTCATTGAAAAGTTTTAATAAGCAAGAGACCATAAGGAGAAAGGTGAAGGGATTGTTTTTTTTCTCTTTTGGGGGTTCTAGGGACTGGACTCAGGGCCTTGCTTGCAAGGCAAGCACTCTACTTGAGCCATGCTCCCAATCCTGGTGGAGGAAGAGTTTGACATGATTAGCCTCGCTGCTCTATGGATTGGGGATGGGCAGGGTGGAAATGAGAAGACCATTAGGCCTTGTGATCAAGGCAAATGAAGATAGTCTCTTGGAATAGGGATGTAGCAGATCTGTGGCCAGATCAGAGAGACCTGGGAAGTAAAGCCCATCAACATATATTTGGTGGCTTCAAGGTTTCTTTGTACTTTGATAGGTCCGAGCTTCTGCATGGGAGCTACATCTCTGTGATTATTTTCAAAATATGCTACAGTAATTAATGTTATGGTTACTATAAGATGAAGTTTGTTTTCCATACGGAGTTAACCTAGAAGCTGTGCATTTATTGGATGGAGGCGGGGTCGACGTTACCATTCCCAGGAAAATCCACAGGACTCCGCCCACTGCCAGGGCTGGCCCCGCCCACGTCACCCCCACGCCTGCGCACTTCCCGTGCCAGGCCTTTCTCGCGGCCGACGCGCCGTGCGCATGCGTGCTACTTCTCCATGTGTGCTGTGGCCCAACTGAGTAGAGACCTTTAAGCCCCTTTGGCGACACGACCTCGTCCCCAGCTCGGCAGCTCCTACGGCTTGCTGTTGCCCTCTTCTTTCGATCTTTTCCCACAGAGTACGTCACCATGGGCAAGAGCCGGACGAAGCGCTTCAAGCGACCTCAGTTCTCCCCTACCGGCAACTGTCAGGCCGAGGCGGTGGCTGCGGCGAACGGCACTGAAGACGAGGAAGATGATGGACCGGCGGCAGAGCTGCTGGAAAAGGTGCAGTTAGGTCTCCGCCAGGTCTGGGGCGCGGGGCACGGTCCGGGGGCCGGGGGTCGGGTGCTCGCTTGCAGCCCCCGGCGCGCGCGTGCGCACTGCGCCCGCTGACTGCTCTCCCATCCCGCAGCTCCAACACCCGAGCGCCGAGGTTCGCGAGTGCGCCTGCGCGGGGCTGGCTCGCTTGGTACAGCAGCGGCCTGCGCTGCCCTGCCTGGCTCGCCGTGATGCTGTGCGCCGGCTCGGGCCGCTGCTACTGGACCCCAGTTTGGCGGTCAGGGAGACAGCTGCCGGGGCGTTGAGGTAAACGGGAAGAGGGCCTGGGGGTGTGCCCACCGCGTTGGGGCCCACACAGACGCAGAGCTTTTTGTGCTATGTGCACACTCCCTGATTCATCCTCAGTGCGCTCAGAAGGTTGGAAAACTTGCCCCGGGTCCCACGCTTGCAGGCGCTGGCTGATGTGAACCTAGGATCCAGAGGGCTCCAAGACCCCCAAACCACACGCATTCCATCTGTCCACCTGGCTTCTTCAGCAGCCACCTGCTAAGGCATCTTGTCCTCAAATGTGGCGCATCCTTTCCCCTCTTTAAGAACCCTGCGTAGGGTCCCCGTTTGAATGAACTCTTCCAGTCTGTGTGCCAGGAATTGCTCTAAGTGCACGGGAGATTGAGCAGGTATAGGACGTTGAGCAAGGCAGCCAAGATACCGGTATTTGCAGATGCTGTGTTGATGATGAGTCAGGGAGCTAGTAAAAAAAGGTAAAATACAATATTACTGAGAAGTGTTACGGAAAAACAAGAGAGCGATGTACTGGGATTGGGAAGCTTAAATTGGGTGCTCTCCAGATCACATTTGTGAACCATGCTTGAAGGTGGGAGCGCCAGGCATGGGAAATAAGGGGTAGAGCGTTCCTCACGGAGGGGAAAAAGACTGCAGGGAAGTGAGGCAACAGTTCTGTTTGGCCTGGTTAACAGGCAGAAAGGTTAGTGTGGCTGAGGACAATATGATGGGGAATTGTAGGAGGTGAGGTTGGAGAGATGGCCAATTATAGAAGGGTGTTAGAGCTGGGTGTGACAAGGATCTAACTACCTTTGGAAAAGGCCACTCTGGTGGCCATGCAGTGAATGGACTGTAGATGGGGCAAGAGTGTTAGTTAATATTTGTAGCTGTTACAGCTCTGTCTGTATGTATCATGTTTCAATTACTGACTTAGCAAATATGTATCTAGCACCTGCTGTGTGCCTAGCACTCAGCTAGGCTCTGGGCATGTGGTAGTGAGGAAGACAGACATAATATCTGTCCTTGATGATTCTTAAAATCTCTTGAGGGAGATGAGCATTAACCAATCACATATACGTATAATTACAACTAGTGGTTATTACAGAAGATGCTATGAGATAGTATAACTAGAGGGTCCAGGGAAGCAGACTCTAAGCAAACGATGTTTGATGTGAGGAATGAGTGGGGATCAACCATTGATGGAGGGTGGCAGACATCCTTCTATCTCTAGGGAGGAAACAGCATAGGGAAATGCCCTGCTCTTTCTACCCTGTCCCCCAGACATATACAAGATGGAAGCTCCCAGAAGATTGTGGATCATCTTCTGTGCCTGGCACAGAGTTTTGTGCTCAGAAAGCAAGCAGTGTCTTTTCAGTTAAAATTAGATTTAGCCAAAGTCACTTCATGGGATGTCATTCTCAGTGACCCGATCTTGCTCCTTTGCTGCTCTTACAGTCTTGATTCCAGGAAATGATCCCTTCTTACAACGTGTGATTTGCTCACATTAAACGAGAAAAACTCTTTCCCCTTTTCCCTTTCATATAGCCATGTACCTGTGTACTGTCTCAGGCCTCAAAACTAAGTTGTTACATGATAGTCATTTGCTTACATCTTGTAGAATAAAGACCAGAACTGGTAGAAATATGCAGCATGTCAACAGTATAGAAGCCCCAAAGTGAAATAATAAATGATTTCCTCTGGGTAGTCTTAAGTGTGGTTAAAAATAGAAATAAATTTGAGGTTAGTATTTTGCGAAATGTGATCTGAAAGTAAATGTTTTAAACTTCTTATGTAGAAATCTCAGTGCTTGTGGAGGTTTTGAAGTTTGTGATGACATGGTGACAAAGGACATCATGACTCCCCTAGTGGCTCTGCTAAAAGAGGTATGCAGTTGTAAAGTGTCTTGAAAGGCACCTTCCAAATGTAGCTTTTAGGAGACAGATTTTTAAGGAAAAAAATTTTAAGTACTTTGCTGTTATTTTGTCTTCCTCTGAAACATATGTAAAATATAAGTAGTTCATTTATTTTTCTGGAAACTGATATATTCTCATCATTGATTCCACTGTCTCTATTATTTTGTGTTCACCATCTTTATTTATTTATTTATTTATTTCCACCATCTTTATTTATATGATGTTTGGAAAAGACCTTTCTAAAACTCCAGACTCACTCCTTTAGACTTTAAGTTTCTCACAATAAAAATAATGAGTACTTGCTGATTGCTTGCTTGTGTTCCAAATACTGCTTTTATGTTGTACATATTTAATTTAATCCTCACAGCAATCCTACAAGGCCAGTATTTCTTTTTTCTTGCAATGCTAGGGATTGAACCCAGGGCGTCATACGTGCTAGCAAAATGCTGTAGTACTGGGCTACATCCCTAGCCCAGGGCAGATATTATTATTACTCCTGTTTTGTAGATGACAAAACCAGGGCACAGACATTTCAAACTTGTAAAGATTGTGTTGCATTCTTGCCAGGCATGGTGGTGCACACCTGTTATCCCACCACTTGGGAGGCAGAGGTAGGAAGATTTGAGAGTTTGAGGCCAGGCGGGGCTAATAGCAAGTTCTACGCTATTCTGAGCCACAAAGTGAGACCCTGTCTCAAAAAAGAAAGGCTGTTCAATTTTCATGTCATGCCTTTTTTTTTTTTTTTTTTTTTTAACGATACTGGGGCTTGAACTCAGGGCCTTCACCTTGAGCCACTCCACCAGCCCTATTTTTGTAAAGGGTTTTTCGAGATAGGGTCTCGTGGAACTATTTGCAAGGGCTGGCTTCAAACCTCAATCCTCCTGATCTCTGCCCTCCTAAGTAGCTAGGATTATGGGCATGAGCCACTGGCACCGGGCCATATCATGCCATTCTTATTACATGATGTAGTTCAGTGGTTAAGGTCTTGATCTTTGCCTCTTCTGTAATTTTCATTTAAGGATATCCAATTTTGATACAAGGCATCAGTCCTGTTTCCTTGATAGCAGTGACTCTTAACTAGGGGTGATTTTTTCTGGACAGGGGACATTTGGCAAAATTTGAAGACTTCTGGTTTTCACAGCTTAGGGGTGTGTTGCTACTGGCATCCTATGGGAAGAGGTCAGGGATGCCACTGAACCTTTTTCAATGCAGAGGGTAGTCCTGCCACAATGAAGAGTGCTCTTGTCCAAAGAATCAGTGGTACTAAAGCCCTCGGTTGGAAAGCTGTGCCTTAGAGGGTGCTGTGGGCTGTTCTGGGGATGGTACTACACGTGGTTAAGAGCACCAGCTGTGGGGCTAGCTGTAGTCCAGCTTCAGCACATACCAAGTTGTACATTCAGCAACCTCCCTGTACCTCAATTTCCTAATTGTACCAGGAGAGCAAGATTAATAGTTGATCTACCTTGTAAGTTTGTTGTGGGGATTAAATAACTTAATATATGTAAAATGTTTAGAATAGTGCCTTAAGAGTGCTCTGTTAACTGATATTTCTTTGCCTTCCTTACTGTCTTTTATTTTAAGTGTGAAATGCTTTATATTTAGTTTGCACAATGACTTGGGAACCTTTTTTGTCTGTGTTGCTTACCAAGGGATGCATGGTTACGGGAATTGAGAATTTACTAGGCTTGTTAAAATTTCTTATGTATAGTTTTTGTGATTCTTTACCACCATCAGTTTTTTGTTTAATTATTCTTTTGAACCAGGGTGCTAATCATGATATTTGGTTACAGTGTAGTGCTGGACTGGATTCAAATGAAATGATTCCACAGGAGAAAAAAGATCAGAACAGAAATTCTATTGAGAATATAGCCAATGAGGCTGTGAATGTGCTGTGGAATATATGGTAAGATGCTTTCAAAGCACAGCCTCCTGCCTGCTACATTGTGACTCAGGCTGGTGCTCTTCCTGTTTGACTTTGTAGTAGTCTCTGTTCCCCTGGATAGACCTGCAAATCCATAATACTTGATAGAAGGCAGTATCCGGTAATCTGAGATCAACCCTTCCTACAAGCCCTTGTTCCTCCTACCTTCTTTGCATCTTTTACTGCATTTTGCATCACTTCCCTCCAGTTACTGCAACTGACAAAAACCAGGAGGAATCATGACCTGTAGCACTGCTATTTGTCCTTTGTCCCTCAGCTCAGTGTGGACCTGTGTTGGTGTCTGGATGAGATCACGACCACAAACCTGGTACAGCTAGTGTTGTACTCCATGTCCTGTCAGTAACCACATGAGTGGGAAGTAGATGCCCAAGGAGCTTCTGTGGCCCCACAGAAAGAAGATCACTTCCTATTCCATGATTGTAGCTCTGGTTGGGGTGGAGTGGACCTGCTGCGGGAATGGAAATGGCTAGAAACACTACCTGGATTTACTTTTTTCTGTCCTGTTTTATGTCCATAATTATAATGGGATTCTGTCATAGTTCCTTATTTTCAGTTGGCAGTGATTGTAATGCCTACCTAAAAGCACAAGTGTTTGTTAGAATTCGAGACTAACTTGGGGGCTGGAAGAGTATGGCTCAAATGGTATAGCGCCTGCCTAGCAAGCGTGAGGCCCTGAGTTCAAATCCCACTACCACAAAAAAAAAAAGATTAAGTTGGATTCTGAAAATCTGAACTTATATAAAATTTTGTTTGTTTGTTTGTGTTTGTTTGTGGTCCTGGGGTTTAATGGCAGGGCTTTGAGCACTTTCTGGGCAGGTGCTGTACCATTTGAGCCACACCTCCAGACTCATGTGAGTTCATTTGTAGATAGTGAATGAATTCCATCTGGAAATTTTGACAGGGTGAGATTTGAGGAGATGGGATTAAACCCAGGGTGGCATGCAAGCTAGCATGCACTACCACTGAGCTACGCCCTAGCCCCTATCATTTTTTGAATTGAAAATTCCTTTTAAAATTTATTTGAAAAGAGCCTGAAAGTATGTCCAATGTGTTCCTCTTTCTTTTTTCTTTTCTTTTTTTTTTTTTTGGCAGTACTGTTGTTTGAACTCAGGTCCTCACACTTGCTTAGGCAGCTACTTTGCCAGCCCTAATTCCTCTTTCTTGAATGCCTGTGAGCCTGCCTTTATCATTTACAGTTATCATAGCCTTATTTTTATATTAAAATAGAATTTTTTGTTAGCATAAACTAATTGTACAAAGGGGTTTCATTGTGATGTTTCCGTACATGCATATAATGTACTTTGATCAAATTCACCCCAATCATATTACTTTCTTAACCTCCTCCTTCCTCCCCACCTGCTTTATAATCATTTTCAAAGGGTTTCATTATCCTAGTTTCATACATATTTATAATCTCCTTCTGTTATATTCACACACACACACACACACACACACACACACATCACCCTCTCCTTTCCTTTCTCCTCCCGCTAACCCTTCCCCAACCCAATCTCCCACTTTTACAGTGATTTTTACAATGATTTTTTTCTTTTTTTTTTTTTTTAGGTCTAGATTCCGAACATGAATGAAAACATGTAGTATTTGTCTTTCTTATCTTGGCTTATCTCACTTAACATGATGTCATAGCTATTAATATTTTTGTTTCACAGTTTATATTTCAAATTATCTTTACTCATGTATGCCTTGTTTTTTTTCTTTTTCTTTGTGTGGGTGTGTGTGTGGGTGTGGTATTGGGGTTTGAAGTTTGAACCCAGGGCTTTGCACTTGCTAGGTAAGAGCTCTACCGCTTGAGCTACCTCCAGTACTGCCTTGTCTTTTTGACAGTGCCACAGTAACTAGATAGATACATGTATATACAGATACATAGTGAGCAAAATATTTTCCTTGGATAACAGATTTAATTTAGTAATATAGTCAGTTCTATTAGCTCTGCTCATGTGTTGAGTGTATGTGGTATGTATGGAGGAACATCTTTCACTGGAAACATGGTTAAAATTATAATAATTAGTTCTTCTTACCCTGCTCATTAGTAACTGATAGTTTTCAGATTCTTTTATTGAAAGGTAGTGTGATTTCAAAAATATTTATTAGAGTAATTGAAAATTCTGCTTAATGAAATTATAACTTCACTCTCTAGGAGTGACTAAAATAAAATTTCTTTTAGATTTGTGCTTTTTGTGTGACAAGAGCCCTTCTGATGTATTTGAACTTCTCATTTGTGGTATAGTGGAAAAAGCAGTAGGCTGGATCCAGAGCACCTAGGTACTGGGCCTGGCTCCACCACCAATAGAGGTGTGACCTTCAGACAGATCACCTCACCTTTTGGAACCTCAGTTTTGTCACCTGTAAAATAGGGAGTTGAATTAAATGATTTCAGAGGTTTCCTGTAGCTCTATCCTTCTGTCAGGAAACTGTCATGATAAAGGTCCTACTGTGATGGAAATAAAATACAGATAGCCAGGTATTGTGTATAGTGAATAAGAGTGAGCATTTGTTTCTTCGTCTATAAAAATGGTGGGTGTTCAACTCCAATCTTTTGGTTTTATAAAGCCTAATTTATATTTGTCATGGATTTCTGTGGTTGATTTCTTAAATGTTAAAATGTGAATAGTAAAACTTTTTTTTCCCCCTTCAATTTAGTGAATGCAGTAGTAGAGCAGTATCTATATTCAACAAAGAAGGGTGTTTGGAGATTGTATTAAAGTATTTAAGTAGGTTTTCCACCAATGTTGACCTGGCTATTTCAGTAGGTAAGTGAAGAAAAGGTGATGATTTATTAAGTACATGTAGCCTTATTTAACGATTTGTATTCAGACCATAGTATGTTTATTCTACAAGAGTGATTTTCTTTGTTTCATTGTATATAAACATATGGTGAAGGAGTTCTGTTTAACCTGTGATTCATACTTTACTTACACAGTTTTCTTGTTCTTTTGCTTAGAAAGGGAGGAAGGAAGGTGAGACTGGTTTTTTAGTATGTTACTTCTTAGAAGCCTTTATTAACTTTTGAAGTTTTCAAAGAAACAGTAACCCACAAACTCTACTAGGCCTTTGAGCCAAGGCTAATTGGAATCTAGACTTAATTAAATGTTTTTATCTCTATCTTACACTCCCAGAGAAAACTGATAGCCTGTGCTTTTTTGGGAGAGAGGAAAAGAAATGATCGAACTTTCACTTAGGCTTGTATCCCTGTCACAGGGTAGGGGGGAGTGGAGTTCAGCAACTTCAGCTGCCTTGGCTCCCTCGCCTTCTTTAAGTTGGGCTGCTAGAGAACCACCAGGGACCCTCAACCTAGAAGGGGGAGAAATCAGAAACTAAAGGATGGAAAGCTCAACAGAATTCTGGGTGTGAGTAGAGAAATAGTTGATGAAAAGCTTGTTTACCCATCATGCCACAGCAGGCATATAGCTGTGGTTTTATTTAACTATGCATTTCTCCTAGCAAGGAAGAAGTGTATTGTTTCTTTTGTAATGGGTACCTTTAAGAGAACAGAAAAGGGAAAACAACAAAAATATAATAGTGGAATAAATAAATGCTACTGGGAAAAATTTTAAAAATCAGTTTTTCAAAAGGAACACTGGTTGGGGGGTCAGTGTTGTAAATGAGGATTTTAAAAAACAGTTTCACTTGTTTTTAGGAAATCAGCAGTGACTTAATCTCAGGATAGTTTTTATTACAATAAGAGAATTTGAGCGGGGGAGAGGGGAGAAATGGCCCAAACAATGTATGCACATATGAATAAACGAATAAAAAAAAGAGAGAGAGAATTTCAGGGAAGTTAGTTAATAGCTTTTAGGAGAAAAACTTTATTTTTGTGCTTTTGACTCTTGTAGATTTAGTTGCTTTTTTTAGTTTTTTTTTCTGGAATGAACTTTTTGACATGGATCAGAATAAAGTCATTTCATATTGTGTAGTAGTATTCTCTTTCTGCATTTAGCTAGATTCATGATTTTTTAAACATGTTTAAAAAAGTCAAGCAAGGCTTACATATAGTAAAGAGAATTTATCATACAAATCCAAATATTAATAAAACATTTATGAACTTGTATTTATGGTACCAGTCACAGTTTATCTTGCTTTTTTTTGCTAAAGTGGGTAGAATTAGTCTCAATGAAAACACAACCCATGTACTTACATGTACATTTATGTGTGGATTTATATATATATATATGTATATATATATATATATGTATATATATATATATATACACACACACATATATATATATATATATATATGGGTTTATAAACAAATATATTTTAGAAACCAAATTAGATCATAGCAATATCATGTGTTTTGGTTAATTTGGATGGGGAAAATCTATTTTGAAATTTTTAGAACTGGAAAGAAATGGATTTGTATAGAATAAATATCTCAAAAGAAACAATTTGGGCTTGCTTCCCCTTTTGTGCTTCCAATATCTCTTCTGTCAAACATTTCGTGCAGTCCCAATTGTTTTTATACTTTCAGTTAATTGTTTCTCATATGCAAACTGTAATCTATTGTCTCATTTTAATGCCAGGGAAGAAGTTAAATTCTAAATGGAACATAAGCCTATTAATATTTTACCCATCTCTTAATTTGCTTATTTTTTTTTATACAAAATAACTTTTCTTTAAGGACTATTGATTCACCAGAAAGTAACTCTAACTTAAATCCTGATGAATTTAAAGGAAACCACAGCCGGGCGCTGGCTAAGATTTGAAGGATAGAGATTTGAGGCAAATAGTTCTCAAGACCCAACTCCAAAATAACCAAAACAAAATGGACTGGTGGTATGGCTCAAGTGGTAGAGCGCCTGCTTTGCAAGCACTACACCCTGAGTTCAAACGTCAGTCCCACCAAAAAATTAATTAGTTAATTAATTAAAGAAAGCTACAATATCTAGGGCTTGTACTCAGCAACAGAGGTACTTTAAGAGTTTGGTCCATGGACTGTTTGCTACTGGTCCATGAAAAGTGCATAAAATAAGGATAAATTTTTATAAATTTTAATAGTAATTCAACATTGCCACAATATTTAAGAGCCTTTTAAATTGTATTTTAGAACTAAAATTATATTTTAGTTCTGTAAAGAATTAGAAATTTTAAAAAGAAAAGGATCTATAGCACTGAGAGCTTGGGAAGTTTCCTTTGCCATGTACCATCCTTGAGATAAAGCATGTACATCCTAAAGCAACCACATGAGTCTAAAGGAGTTGTAAACAGTTATACTGGTGTAAATAACACTAAGAAGAATTCATTTGTCTCTAAATTCTTAACTTTTATCTTGTAGCATATTGTTTGCAGACAGTGACAGAAGATAACCCAGAGCTACTGAAATCTTTCAGTGCTACAGCGCTTCATGTGCTGGAATCCGCAATGCTGTGTCCTGTCAGTTCCATGGAGTACATTCTCTTAAAGACACTGGTAGCAGGTAAAATTAGCCAAATGAGATAGCGTGCTTTTGGGTGACTTGTAATGGGGAGAGGCAGAGCCACAGGTCAGTCATTCCTTCATCTCACTACATCAGGGCTTCTTGTGCTTATACCTGTTCTGAAAGTAGAGAACCTTTATTTAAGTAGTTGCCTATAGTTATGAAGCCTTCTGCAATAGATTTGTTTTCAATTTAACAAACCATTGTTGCCTGGTAAAGAAACGCTGTGGTTAGTATCTCCTTTTATTTATGAACCAATGAGTTCAGAAATTGATTCTGGGCTTCGAGGACATGACCACCTACTTTCCATGAGTTCCTCACCACAACCCTTTTTGTCCCAGTACCTCTGAACACAAAATGATCTGATGGTCTTTTGAGTCATGTATACTTTTATAGCTGCTGTATGTATTTTTCTCTTGCCCTATGGCTTTCCAGAGGTAATTTATCTTGAGAGGTTTGTTGTATTTTTTTAAATTGTATTAAATGTATGTAACATTTACCTCATAACCATTTTTAAGTATACAGTTGAAGGTATAAAACATATTTGCATTGTTGTGCACCAGATCTCCAGATCTATATTCATCTTGCAAAAGTGAAACTATACCTACTGAATGACAACTTTTTCCATTTTCTTCTGACCTCAGTGCATGGTAACAAACATTTTACTGTCTGTCTCTATGAATTTGACTGCTGTCAATTACTTATATGAGTGGAATCATATGTTTGTTTGTAACTGGCTTATTTCACTTAGCCTAAGGTTCTCAAGGTGGTAGCAGGTGTCCCAGTATTGCCTTCCTTTTGAAGGCTGAGTAATATTTCATTGTATGTATATATACTTACCACATCTTGTTTATCCATTCACTTGTTCATAGACACTTGGGTTGCTTTCAACTCTTGGCAATTATGAGTAAGTCTACAGTGAACCTGCCTGTGATCTATTTGAATCCCTGTTTCCAATCTTTTGGGTATATGCCAAGGTGGTATTTTTAGTTTGCCATCACTTTTTTAAATTAATCTGACTACTTACTGGTAGCTCCTGTTTTAGTTTGATAAGCAGGAAGCAGAAGCGTGGTCCATGTTCTCTGGGCTGATAGGCTGTGCATCAGAGAAGAGCATTGTGTGCTGCCAGGGGATGATTGTGAAACATCATAAGCAAGGGTGCTGCCTCTGGGCACCCTTTTCTTTTTTTGGGAGGTAGAGTCTTGCTATGTTACTTAGGCTGGCCTCGAACTCTTGTCTTCTTGCCTCAACCTCCTGAGTGCTGAGATTACACGTGTGCAGCTACACACAGTGCTTTTCATTATTTAATAAAATCTGAACAAAGACAGTGGTGTTGAGATATTTTGAAATTACATCTGAGCCTAAATACCCAGTCTTATGGAAACTGTTCTCAGTGTGAGGTTTCTTTCACAAGTGATTCCCTTGTCCTTATGGTCATTTTTTCCCAGGCACAATCTGGAATCTAAAGGACATTATTCCATCAAAGAGTCAGGCAGAAATCATAAATGCTATCCTAAAGATCTTATCTGAAGTTTTAGAAATGGATGCTATGGAAACGGTTATTCAAATGAAGGAGGCCGAAACTCAGCGGATAAAGACAGCTGCGGAGACTGAGGAAATCCTGGACAATGCTGGTGGTGATGATTTGGTGGATGATGAAATGGAAGAGATTCCTTGCAGAAGAAAAGTCAGAAGGAAAACTTTCATTTCTGATTTACTTCCAGTAAGTCAGATTTGATGCTTAAGCCTGGACTAATACAGCTGTTTTCCTCCAACGGGCACCCTTACCTTTGTAGAAAAGTACTAGCAAAATTAGCTATAGAAAGTGAATTTTGGTAAAAATCAGTGACATTTGCCTATTGATTCTTATTACAATGTTAGAAGTGTTCGCCCAAAAAGAAAAATAGTCTCTAACTGTGTCTCTCTCTTTAGTTGCACATTGCCTCCCACACTGTCTTCAAACTAAAGGAATTGGTACTTTGCTCAGCTTCCTATATGAAATGTGGAAGGGGGGAATGGCATGGTACTGCTCAGATCTCTGTTACCCTGGCTGACTTAGGCATAGCATGATTTACCACTCCATATGCCTTTCAGAGCAAAAGTGGGAATTGGCAGTGAGGCTGTTGGAAACTCTGGAGAACCTGAAATTCTTGCTGGGAATGGGAGAGGTTTTTTGGTGGTATTGTTTTTTTTTTAAACAGTACTGGGATTTGAACTCAGTACTGGGATTTGAAATGGGATTTCATGCTTGCTAGGCAGGTGCTCTACTTCTTGAGCTATGCCACCAGCCCAGGAATGATACTCTTGTGTGATTGTACCCATGTCCAGTCTTGCTTCCCAGGGACTCCTAAAGGGAATGGAAGGGAGACTCAAGTCTATCTACCATGGTTAAGATAGACATGCCATTGTTTACGAATGACTGATAACTATTATGTGGAGATTTATTAAGCTTTATTTTAAAATGGAGGTAGAGTGCATGCTTACCATGTCAGAGGCCTGGGTTTAATCCCTAGTACCAAAAGGGAGGAAAAAGTAAAGAAAAATAATTTTGTGTTTATAAAGTGCAGTGCTTTCTCATAGCAAAAACTTGCTTGTAAAGTCTTAACTGAGCAGCCTGGGTGGTTAACATGCTGGTTGGTCAGTCAGCCAGTGTTTAGGTGCCAGTATGGTTCTGGACACCATGCTGACATGCCAGAAATAAAGACCCCATCACTATCTGGTGGCTTCTGCTGCAGTCCTGTAGAATCACAACTCTTAATTGCATTGTTTAGCTGAAGAAGGCGTAGCCAGAAATATTTAAAGAAGAGCAGTTTAACTCAAGTAGTTGTCTTTAATACATGCAGAAGTAAAGAACCCTCTCCAGCTCTCACAGTTATTACTTATCCTGGCTCTCTGTTTTATTTCATCTGTTACCTAGTCACTCGCTCCTCTCTCTGCTGGTTTCTTTGAAGCAAATCTCAAATGTCATAACATCTCATTTAGATTGGTTCTTTATGTCAGCTTCGTAACAGTAGAAGCAGAGAAATATTTTGAGTGGCAGTTACATAAAGTGGAGCCAAATTTCAGAGTTCCAGCTTCTAAGCAGATCTTTGTACATTTTAAGTGGATGAGAATGAAGCAACAAGTCTTATTTAGCTACAGTCTATTCTAATGAAGGTTTGTTTAGTTGAATAACACACACACAAAACAAATAGGAATGATTTTGGTACACACTGTTAGTCATAAATGGAATACAAATTTAGGACTTGCTGGGCTACATCTGTTAGATTAGCATTTGCTTTTTGTTTCTTCTGGTTTCTTTGTGTTGTGGTGCTAGGGATTGAATCCCTAGTACACATGCTAAGCTGTACTTTACCACTGACCCACACCCCCATTCCCCCAGCACCACCTCTTTTTGGTAAAGATGAAGCAGTAGTTCAAAGATGCAATTAAAGTCTTAGATTCTTGGACAAAGAATTTGTTCGTGAGATTTTCAGTGAGCAAAACATCCTGGAAAGGGAGATGTAAATACATTATAGGGCCCACCAATGTTTTTTTAACCTTGGAGCAGTAAACCTGAGGAAATAAGTATCCAAGCATAATCGGCCATCCACATCCACAGAGTTCGAGTCCAGGACCTCCCTCAGATTCCAAAATCCTGGGATGCTCAAGTCCTTTATATGAAATGGCACAGTAAGCAGGCGCCGGTAACTCATGCCTGAGATCCTAACTACTCAGGATGCAGAGATAGGAGGATCACGGTTCAAAGCCAGCCTATGCAAATAGTTTGTGAGATCCTGTCTCCATAAAAAACCTTCTCAAAAAAAAAAAAAGTGGGGTGAGGAGCTGGTGAGTGGCTCTTGATGTAAGCCCTGAGTTCAAACCCTAGTACCACAAAAAAAAAAACAGGCATGCTGTATACATAGGACCTATGCACATTGTCATGTATATTTGAATCATTACTGAATTGCTTGTAATTCCTCATACAGTGTCAGATAAAAGAGGTTTTGGGTTTATGTTTTTATTTTTCTTTGTTTTTTTTTCTTTGGCAGAGCTGGCAAGTGGTTATACTCTATTGTTTAGGGGATAAAAATAAGGGGAAAAAGTCTGTGCATATTCAGTATAGGTGTGTTTTTTTTCTTTCCCCAGAAAGTTTTGATCCTGAGTTGGTTAACGGGGTACAGTGATGTGTGACTGTAATCCCAGCTACTTAGGAGGCTGAGGCAGGAGGATCACTTGAACCTAGGAATTCAAGGCTAGCCTGGGCATTGTAGAGAGACCTAACCTCAAAGAAAAGAAAAATAAGCCTGGTACTGGTGGCTCATGCCTATAATCCTAGCTACTCAGAAGGCAAAGATCAGCATGATCATGGTTTGAAGCCAGCCTGGGGAAATAGTTCTCGAGACCTCATTTCAAAAATACCCCATACAAAAAAGGACTGGTAGAGTGGCTCAATGTAGGCCCTGAGTTCAAACTCCAGTACTGGAAAAAAAAAAGAGAGAGAGAAAGAAAGAAAAAAGAAAAAGTTGATTAAATCCATGGATGTAGCGACTTAAGGTACAGAGAGTTGACTATAATCTGAAATATTCCATACCAGTGGAATCCTTGGTGAATTGTATTGGATCCGTTTAGTAGAATATTGTTCAAACATTAAAAAGATAATTAGAAACTGTTGAAATTTGGAAACAAACAATAAAGTACATGTCTTTAAGCTTATTTTGCCATTTTGAAATATTGGTGTGACTATTTCACTGTTCATATACAATTTAAGAATTGATGTCAGCCAGAAACTGGTGGTTCACACTTGGAATGCTACCTACTTGGGAGACTGAGATTGGGAAAATCAAGATTGGAGGCCAGCCCCAGCAAGTAGTTCATGAGACCTCATCTCCAAAATAACCAGAGCAAAATGGACTGGAGGTGTGGTTCAAGGGATAAAGTGCCTGCTTTGCAAGCATAAAGTCCTGAGTTGAAAACCCTAGTGCCACCAAAAAAAAAAAAATTTGAGGTCATGTAAGTTTATGTCGTCCATTTTAAGAAATGTGAATTGATGAAGTTTAATTGATACTATAGGTTTTCAGAGAAAAGTGCCCCCTCTTTTTTTAGTCTTAAAGAAATACTTTTAGTTTTCAAAGAAAGTCAGGAAGCAAGCCTGTCTGCTCCTCTGCAAGCACTGCTGGTCATATAAGGGCTTATTGGTAGTGTTTGGCTCTCCAAGACGATGTCTGAGCATCTGAATGTGAGTTTGTTGTGTTTTAAGTGCCCGGTGTCTGAAGTGAGCTTTTGTTTTAGTCTTAGTATGCAGAACTACTTCTTAACACGTTAGATTAAGTTTCAGGGTGAATTCAGTTCAGATTCCTAAGTTTCTGTCTGTTTTTTACAGCTAACTAAGCAACACTTAGAGGATAACCATGCAGGTAGATGGAAACCCTGTTAACATTGGCACACTCTATTGTGCCAAGAGGAATTATATATAATACCAGTTAATACTTCTGACACTTTAGGGCTTTTCTCCTACCTTACAATGTGCTCTATTGCAAGTGTAGAAATCTTCCAGTAGGCTTTAACTAAGGAAATTCATGCAGGTTTTTTTGTCCTTTTTCTTTAGCCCACTGACAAGGAACTAAGAGAGATCACAGCATTGCTGACAGCTCAGCAGACTGCTCTGGAAATCATTGTCAACATGTGCTGCAATGAAGGTTTGCACCCAACGGTTCCCTCTGGGCTGGGGCAGCTTCTGTAGAGTTTTCCTTATGTCCCAATTGTGTGTGGTTCCCAGATCCCTCGGATGATGAGTGGGAAGAGCTGTCTAGCAGTGATGAAAGTGAAGCATTTATGGAGAATTCCTTCAGCGAGTGCAGTGGGCAGTTGCTCTCTCCTCTCTGCCTATCCCATGAGATTCATACTGCTCTCACCAACTGCCCCATCCCAAAGAAGGTAATGGGTTTTCATCCTGGCTCATGTCAGAGCATGGGAAAGGTTTAGCAAGCTGTTCTGTGTGCCAAAGAAGTAAGTGCACACTTGTAGGTTGCAGGTGATGGTACCACCTGGGTTCCAAAGTAGAACTGTCAGTACTGGAGGTTAGACAGGTGGCTTCTGTCTTGATCGCCATTTCACTTGGAAGTCATATATTGGAATTTTGTAAAATATCATGTCTGACTTCTCTTTCACCTTTGCCCTACTGTCTCTAAAACCTAGGTTTTTGAGAAAACTGCCTTTCCAAACAGCGTTGCAGTTGACATATGTTCTAGGAACCCTACTTGGAAACCTTTGATTAGAAAGTAAGAACTCTTCTATTTTTGGAAATGTGTCATTTTGTCATTATGTGAAATACTGGACCATTAAATAGAAAATGCTGGCTCTTCCCAACATCCAAAAGTTCCTGGGTAGATGTGCACTAGGACACATGCATGATTACATTCTTAGCAGTGTGGCTTATAGTTACTCTGCCGTCATTATACCGTGGAACACATACAGCAGTAAAAAGGATCTGAGCTAGAACCTGTGCTCAGTGTGGATGAAACTTAGAGTGTTGAGTGAATGAGTAAGACAAGGAAGAATGTGCACACTGTGATTCAGTTTTCACAAAGCTCAAAACCAGGTAGCACTCAGTTAGTGATACATACCTAGGTGGGAGCTCTATAAAGAAAAGCAAGGAGTTTACCATACAAAGCCTGGACAGAGATTTCCTCTAGGGTTCAGGGAGGTGGGGAAGAACCAAGAAAGGACATGTGGTCTGTGAGGTGCCAGTAGTGTTTATTTCTTACCAGGTACATGGGTGTTTGCTTTTTTAAGTTATTTGTTAAACTCTGTATATTTATTGTATGCTTTACCATTTGTGTATGTTATAATTAAAAATAATTATAAAGATGCTGCCTTGCATAGAAATTGCTTTAAGGCAGATTCCTCATGACTCCTAAATGTGTTGTGTGTCAGCACCCTTGAGTCTCAAGCAGACCTGCTATGGACCCCCTTGTATTTACAGATATTCAGTCACAGCTGAAGCTTAGGCAAAAAACCTGAGCTGGGTGGGGAGTTTCCTGTAATCCCAGCACTCGTGAGGCAGAGGCAGGAGGATCATGAATTCTAGGCCAGCCTAGGCTACATAGTAAAACCCTGTGTGAAAAAAAGAAGTTAATGCTGAATTCCAGTGGGTAAATTGTAGAGAAACAGGTGCATTGTTTCACCCCCTCTACAGAATGAACACTATACAGTGTAGAGCCCTCGTGTGCCTCCAGAGTCTTGTGTCCCTCTTGGACGTGGATCATCTGGGAGGAGCCCCAGCCCTTCAGACGCTTGCACAGCACTTGTCACAGCTTCTTTTTTCTCAGCCAGGTAAATATCTAGCCTTACTGTAAAAGACTACTTGGAGAAAACAGAGTCTCGAAGGGACAGGAACTTGGAATTTATATTTTGTATTGTTTATCATTTAACCTGCAGAGACCTTTCCTAGATATAACAGTCATGTTATTGCCAGTGGTATAGTCAAACCAAAGTGTGCCAGCAAGTCTGTGGGCTGTATATTCTTTTATTAAATTTGTCTGCATCCAGTTATATAAGGCCCATTAAGGCTAAATCATTTGGATATTTGATTTGGAGATATTTGGGTAATTATCTCTTCTTCACTTTTCTTTTTAATTACAACAGTTTGAATTTGGGTAATACATGCACTGTATGTAGGATGAAATTTTAAAGTTATTAGAGGACATAAAGTGGGCAGTCTCCCTTCTTTACCCTGTACCACCCAGCTCCTCTCCTAGAGTCAAGTCACTATTAGACCAGTTTCTTGTGTTTGTGTCCAGAAAGATTGTCTGGAGACAAGGTGGACTGGGAATGGGAGATGTGGGCAGCTAATGGGATGCATACTTCTCTACCTTGCTTTTGTCTAACACATGTCTTCAAACACCTTAGCATGGAAATTACTGAATCTCTTAGATTATATGTCTCTGGTAATATTTTTATACTCAAAAACTACAGTTATACTGTAGTTAATTAAAAAAAAAGTTTAACAGAGTTTAATTGAGCAAAGAATGAGTTGGGCAGTCCTCAGAAGCAGGACGGGTTCTGTGAGGCTCTCCTACTGCTCTTTGCATATGGCCTAGCTGTACAACGTTTGGTGCACATTCTTCCAGATTCTCATAGTTCATTATAGAACCTTGTTGAACTCAATCACATTGAGCTGTAGGAGCTCAGACAATCTGAACAAACGCTTGAGTGCAGAGGCGTCTGGTCAGCATGTCAAGCCCATGAGGACTAGCTTCATTATTTCGCCCAGTCTTCTGAGGAACCTGGAAGAGGCCTGGACAGTGTGGAGTGGGGCTCACTCTGGCCTTTACTGGCATTCTGGCTCCCTTCAGCATGATATCTTATGAGGTAGGAGGAGGCACCCCGTTGCTCGTGCCCACAGCTATCCACCTACTTCCATGTCTGTGGCGGGAAGCAGGGCCAAATAGGTGTCCACAACCAAGGCCCCTGGTGAGCAGGAGCTGCCTGCATCTCTTACTGCTTCCAAGCCCTGCCCAGCCTTGAGGTAGCCTCTCAGCCCTAGATCCTCAAGCTGCCATCTCTTGCCCTCTGAGCCATTTCTCGTAAGATGCCTTGGGCCTCATTCCCAAGCAACAAGAAGGGTTTACTTCACTTGAAGTAAATGCACCTGTTCTGGATCTTTGCCATACAGCAGCACTCAGGTGCTTATCCCAATTCCTCTGGCTATTTGTGCTCTCTGGTGTTTGTGCATTCATTATACTGCAAAGATCGCAGAAGACCATACCAAGCCGACCTTGGAGAATGGGAAGCCACCAAATTTGGGAGAATATAACTAAGCACATTGATTTTAAATAAGTTCTACTTTCATGGCTATTCTTGACAATCTAAAAAAAAAACTGTGGTATAGTGGTCGGTTAAGAACACTTATGTATCCGAAAGCTATGATGTTATTTTTGTAGAGTCACCTATTGTAGTCACTGTCACAACAGAATGTTTGAAAATCTATCCAGCTACTGATGTGGGCTTTGTTATGTCCAGGGATTTATAATCTTAGTTGACCTTCCATATATGAAAGGATTTGGAATGCAAACAGTAGGGGGAAAGTTACTGCTTGGGAAAGATAGCCATTAAAATGTCTTTGAACTGTTTTCCATCCTTGTGTCCTGTCTGTGGCCTTTTGTAGCCCTTAATACTGATATTTAGAAATGGAGATAAGAAGTGGCTTAAAAAGCAACATAGTAACAAGATAATCCCTTATGCAGTATTGAGGTCATATTCTAATACAGTCTTCCTAAATATTTGTGTATTATTTAATGAGTAATGAATTATAGACAGATAATGTGAACTGCTTTGCTGAATTTGTTGGGGAGCATGGGGCTAAATTTCTATGTTCTTTGTGTTACTACTGTGTTTGAGACTTACATATGAGGCTCATACAGCTGTATCTAACTTGTTTTAATTTTTTATAGAGAAAGTATTAGAAGAGGACTACAGTTTCAATAGGCTGAAAATGGATTATCTCTAGAGTGAGAGGATGACACCTTGTTTGGGGTTTTTCTGGGGGAAGAGGTGAGGTTTGAACTCAGGGCTTTGCACTTGCAAAGCAGGCACTCTACTGTTTGAATCACACATCCAGTCCATTTTGTCCTGATTATTTTGGAGATCTCACAAACTGTTTGCCTGGGCTGGTCTCGAACCTTCATCCCCCTGATCTCAACCTCCCAAGTGGGTAGGATTACAGGTGTGAGCCACTGGCTCCTGGGTAACTTGTTTTCTTTTTAATGTTAAAATACACTTCTAAATAGTTACAAAATTTGTGATACTCAGTACCTGTTTTCATAGGTTTGTGGCTGACATCACCTTGCATAAATGTGGTTAATTTTCAAAATATCAAATTTTTAACAGTGTCATGTTTTTGTCTTGGGTCAGTCTGTCAGTGTGGCTCCATTACATCAGTACTAAATCATTTTAGAAATCCCTGTTTTCCCAAATTTTGGAAATTGGCAAACTTTTTGTTGTTGTTAGTTAGAATGGTGGTATCCCATTCTGTGATATATTTTCTTTTCCATATCAGAATATTGAGGAATTCATCTAAATATAATCTGCTACTTGATTACTTGTGAGTTAATTCTTGTTCTTTAGGAAAGACTTTTTTTTTTCAGTGTGCTAAGTGCTCTCCCACTGAGCTCTACTCTCAACCAGGAAAGACATTTAGAATCCTTAAAGGTTTTTTTTTTTTATTGTTTTATTATTCATATGTGCATACAAGGCTTGGGTCATTTCTCCTCCCTGCCCCCACCCCCTCCCTTACCACCCACTCCGCCCCCTCCCTCTGCCCCCCACCCCCTCAATACCCGGCAGAAACTATTTTGCCCTTATCTCTAATTTTGTTGAAGACAGAGTATAAGCAATAATAGGAAGGAACAAGTGTTCTTGCTGGTTGAGATAAGGATAGCTATACAGGGAGTTGACTCACATTAATTTCCTGTGCATATGTGTTACCTTCTAGGTTAATTCTTTTTGATCTAACCTTTTCTCTAGTTCCTGGTTTCCTTCTCCTATTGGCCTCAGTTGCTTTTAAGGTATCTGCTTTAGTTTCTCTGTGTTAAGGGCAACAAATGCTAGCTAATTTTTTAGTTGTCTTACCTATCCTCACCCCTCCCTGTGTGCTCTCGTTTTTATCATGTGCTCAAAGTCTAATACCCTTGTTGTGTTTGCCCTTGATCTAATGTCCACATATGAAGGAGAACATATGATTTTTGGTCTTTTGGGTCAGGCTAACCTCACTCAGAATGATGTTCTCCAATTCCATCCATTTACCAGTGAACGATAACATTTCGTTCTTCATGGCTGCATAAAATTCCATTGTGTATAGATACCACATTTTCTTAATCCATTGGTCAGTGGTGGGGCATCTTGGCTGTTTCCATAACTTGGCTATTGTGAGTAGTGCCGCAATAAACATGGGTGTGCAGGTGCCTCTGAAGTAACCTGTGTCACAGTCTTTTGGGTATATCCCCAAGAGTGGTATTGCTGGATCAAATGGTAGATCAATGTTCAGCTTTTTAAGTAGCCTCCAAATTTTTTTTCCAGAGTGGTAATACTAGTTTACATTCCCACCAACAGTGTAAGAGGGTTCCTTTTCCCCCCGCATCCTCGCCAACACCTGTTGGTGGTGTTGCTAATGATGGCTATTCTAACAGGGGTGAGGTGGAATCTTAGTGTGGTTTTAATTTGCATTTCCTTTATTGCTAGAGATGGTGAGCATTTTTTCCGGGAAAGACATTTAGTATCGCCTCATTTAACTTTTTTTTTTTTTTTTAAACAGTACGGGTTTGAACTCAGGGCCTCATGCTTGCTAAATAGGTGTTTTAATTACCACGTGAGCCATGCTCCAGCTCTTTTGCTTTAGTTGTTTTTCAGGCACGGTTTCATTTTTTTCCTGGAGCCATACTCAAACATGATCCTCTTTTTTTTTTTTCTTTTATTATTCATATGTGCATACAAGGCTTGGTTCATTCTCCCCCCTGCCCCCACCCCCTCTCTTACCACCCACTGCGCCCCCTCCCTCTCCCCCTCCTCAATACCCAGCAGAAACTATTTTGCCCTTATCTCTAATTTTGTTGTAGAGAGAGTACAAGCAATAATAGGAAGGAACAAGGGTTTTTGCTGGTTGAGATAAGGATAGCTATACAGGGCATTGACTCACATTGATTTCCTGTGCGTGGGTGTTACCTTCTAGGTTAATTCTTTTTGATCTAACCTTTTCTCTAGTACCTGTTCCCCTTTTCCTATTGGCCTCAGTTGCTTTAAGGTATCTGCTTTAGTTTCTCTGCGTTAAGGGCAACAAATGCTAGCTAGTTTTTTAGGTGTCTTACCTATCCTCACCCCTCCCTTGTGTGCTCTCGCTTTTATCATGTGCTCATAGTCCAATCCCCTTGTTGTGTTTGCCCTTGATCTAATGTCCACATATGAGGGAGAACATACGATTTTTGGTCTTTTGGCCAGGCTAACCTCACTCAGAATGATGTTCTCCAATTCCATCCATTTACCAGCGAATGATAACATTTCGTTCTTCTTCATGGCTGCATAAAATTCCATTGTGTATAGATACCACATTTTCTTAATCCATTCGTCAGTGTGGGGCATCTTGGCTGTTTCCATAACTTGGCTATTGTGAATAGTGCCGCAATAAACATGGATGTGCAGGTGCCTCTGGAGTAACAGTCTTTTGGGTATATCCCCAAGAGTGGTATTGCTGGATCAAATGGTAGATCGATGTCCAGCTTTTTAAGTAGCCTCCAAATTTTTTTCCAGAGTGGTTGTACTAGTCTACATTCCCACCAACAGTGTAAGAGGGTTCCTTTTTCCCCGCATCCTCGCCAACACCTGTTGTTGGTGGTGTTGCTGATGATGGCTATTCTAACAGGGGTGAGGTGGAATCTTAGTGTGGTTTTAATTTGCATTTCCTTTATTGCTAGAGATGGTGAGCATTTTTTCATGTGTTTTCTGGCCATTTGAATTTCTTCTTTTGAGAAAGTTCTGTTTAGTTCACTTGCCCATTTCTTTATTGGTTCATTAGTTTTGGGAGAATTTAGTTTTTTAAGTTCCCTGTATATTCTGGTTATCAGTCCTTTGTCTGATGTATATTGGCAAATATTTTCTCCCACTCTGTGGGTGTTCTCTTCAGTTTAGAGACCATTTCTTTTGATGAACAGAAGCTTTTTAGTTTTATGAGGTCCCATTTATCTATGCTATCTCTTAGTTGCTGTGCTGCTGGGGTTTCATTGAGAAAGTTCTTACCTATACCTACTAACTCCAGAGTATTTCCTACTCTTTCTTGTATCAACTTAAGAGTTTGGGGTCTGATATTAAGATCCTTGATCCATTTTGAGTTAATCTTGGTATAGGGTGATATACATGGATCTAGTTTCAGTTTTTTGCAGACTGCTAACCAGTTTTCCCAGCAATTTTTGTTGAAGAGGCTGCTATTTCTCCATCATATATTTTTAGCTCCTTTGTCAAAGATAAGTTGCTTATAGTTGTGTGGCTTCATATCTGGATCCTCTATTCTGTTCCACTGGTCTTCATGTCTGTTTTTGTGCCAGTACCATGCTGTTTTTATTGTTATTGCTTTGTAATATAGTTTGAAGTTAGGTATTGTGATACCTCCTGCATTGTTCTTTTGACTGAGTATTGCCTTGGCTATTCGTGGCCTCTTGTGTTTCCATATAAATTTCACAGTAGATTTTTCAATCTCTTTAATGAATGTCATTGGAATTTTGATGGGAATTGCATTAAACATGTAGATTACTTTGGGGAGTATCGACATTTTTACTATGTTGATTCTACCAATCCATGAGCAAAACATGATCCTCTTGTACTTAGGGCCTCCTAAGGAGCTGGAATAACAGGCACACACCACCACGCCCAGCTTTTGTGTATGTGTGTGTGTGTGTGTGTGTGTGTGTGTGTGTGTGTGTGTGTGAGATACTGGGGCTTGAATTTAGGGCCTTCACTTTGAGCCACTCCACCAGCCCTATTTTTTTGTGAAGGATTTTTTTTTTAGTTAGGGTCTCACGAACTATTTTCTCGGGCTAACTTCAAACCTGATCACTGCCTCCTGAGTAGCTAGGATTACAGGCAGCACCCAGCTATACCCATCTTATTTATTGAGATGGAGTCTCAGTAACTTTTTGCCTGGGCTGGCTTCCAGCCTAGATCCTCCCAGTCTCGCCTCCTGAGTCGCTATGATTGCTAACATGAGCCACCATGACCCATATGTTTAATTTCTTTTAACATTTCCATAATTTCTCTGAGAAGACCACCTCTGCTAACTGTTTACTGAAATTTAGTTGAAAGACAGGATGGTTTGAAGTTCCTTTCCCAAATTTGGATGAATGACCAGAAACGTGAACAAACCTTGCTCACATATTTTCCTTATGTAAAATGTGGATTCACATAGTGAAAAATGGTGTATTGGTTAGCATGTTGAACTAAAAATAATGCTTATTTTCCTGAAAGTGAAGGATGTTAAATATAATGTACATGTGAGTGCCAGTATGGTAATTTTAAAGTTTAATGGTGACAACTCACACCAGTGTTTGAATGCCTGTTAGATGCCAGGTTTTAGGAGATGGGCATGATTCATCCTTTCCAGTGAGATTTAGAGAGGTTAAAGAACCTCTTCCAGACCGCTCGTTGTTTAAAATAGGTTTCTTGAACACGTGCATTATGTCACACATGAAGAGGTGAGGATCCTGGTAGCAGGGCCACTGGTCCACAGAGCTCAGACTCTGACATGAAGCTTAGTGTCATTTTGTAACAGCAGAGCAGGGCAAGGTGCTGCTTTCAGCAAGTGTAGAAAAGCTGATCTGAGGAAGTGAAGTGAGAGGGAGCATATAATGGCAAATGAGGTTTTCTCCCAGATCTGTCTATTCCTGAAGCTAGCCTGTTGTCTGTCTTGTGATAATTATAGGAAGCCCCCTACATTGGTACATAATATATACCTAAAAATGAAAGGCCAGAAGATAAAATAAGCCTGGATTAAAATTTGTGGGGCCAGACATGGTGAGACTCACTTATAATACCAACACACAGGAAACTGAGGCAGGAGGACTGGGAATTTGAGGCCAACCTCAGCTACATGGCGAAACCTTGTCTCAGAGGAAAAAAATGGTGGAAAACTGCCTGTCTCTCATCCAAGCAACCTGAAAATCAGAACTGGGACAAGGTCCCAGGCACCACAGGAGAGAAAGTCAAGGTGCTTCTCCTATAAAACAAATCACCCCAAAACTTTGTGACTTAGCCAGGTGCCAGTGACTCATGCCTACTCAGAAGACAGAGATCAGGAGGGTCACCTTTTGAAGCCAGCCCAAGCCAATAGTTTGCAAGACCCTATCTCGAAAAAACCCTTCACAAAAAGGGCTGTTGGAGTGGCTCAAGGTGTAGGCCCTGAGTTCAAACCCCAATCCACAAAAAAAAAAAAAAAAAATTTGTGGCTTAAAACGATAGTAATGAAACAACATGGTGGCACTCGCCTGTTGTCTCAAGCCACTCAGGAGGCTGAAACAGGAAGATCAGCTGAGCCCCTTAGTTCTAGAGCAGATTGAAAACATAGTATGAGCCCATTTCAAAACAAGACAGAACGGTCATCCCTACTTACTTCTCTCAGTTTATCTGGGCCAGGAGAACAGTGGAGGTAAGGTATCCCCACCTCCACATAGTCTAGGGCAGTGACTCTTGAGTAGGGGCAGTTTGCACCCACTCCCAGGGATGTTCAACAGCGTCTGTGGGTATTTTGAGTTGTTACAACTTGGAGGTTGTTATTGTTATCTGAAGGGTAGAGGCCAAGGGTGCTGGGAAACCCCCTGCAATGCACAGGAGACCCCTGTACACACACACAGACTTTTCTGGTGTAAAGTGTCCCTTCTGTTTAGTGGCGAGATAGTAGTCTGCTGGAAAATTCAAAGGCCATGAGCCAGACTCACTGGAAGTCTTGTTCTCTCACATTGGACACTTGGGCTGGGATTGTCAGATGAAACGCCCATGGGTGACTCATGTGACCCAGACCTTTCAAGTTGAGAGAGGAAAAAAACACGTACATGAGAGTCAGGTGCAAGTCATACTGCCTTTTATGACCTGTCTGTCATTCATGTGCTGTTAGTTGAAGATGTCACAGAGTCGCACCTAGATTCCAAGAAACAGACTCCACATCTTTATGAAAAGTAGCAAGATTCCAAAGGATCACACAAGACCAGAAATATTGCTGTGACATTTTTGGAAGTTACAACAGCAAGTGACTTGCTCTCCCTTTCCGTAAAAGGGGTCAGGGAGCTGGTTCACCTTGCCTACAACTGTGCCAGCACAATCATTTATTGTTTCTGTTCATCTTGTCCTATGTGGGAAAAAGGGACGTAGGAGAAGAGTGACAACAGGAGCAGAGGATGCTGGGTCAGTAAAGACCAGGGAGGCATGGTGGCCTGGCCCACTAATGGGCTTGGGTTGGCAAGAAGAGTACTGGTGTGGGAGGCGACTGCGTACCTGCTACCACCCTGGTGGACATCTGCAGGAAACTGAACTCATTCGCAGTGCTGGCTTAGGTCTGTCCTATTTCAAACTGGAACCCAGCACCCCAGATCAAGGACCATCTATAGAACACTTGCTAGCTGTGACTATTTCAGCTGTGGTCATTTTCAGATTGTGTGTGCAGTGTTCAGGGGACTGTTAACTAAACATTTGGCTTAAATACTAAGAATGTTTTTATTAATGATAGCATATGCTAACATTTACATGCTTTTTGTTTTGATGCTGTTTTTCTACAAAATAGCTTGTCTTGGAGCAAGAAAACTTGTACTTCATTTTGTGTTTTATGGTACTTTTTTTTAGATTTTGCAAAACATGCTGACTTTCTAGAAGCCATAAGTAGTGCCTTGAGAGCCCTTTTGCAAACAATGGCCTCCAAGAACATTCCTCAGGTAAGATTTTCTAAACTTCTCACATGAAACTTGAAAAGAGTCTGCATGTTGGAAGCAAATTTATTACTTAATTTTTTTTTTTTTTGGTGGTACTGGGTTTTGAACTCGGGGCTTCAAACTTGCAAAACAGGCACTCTACCATCTGAGCCACACCTCCAGCTCTACTTAACTATTTCTTAAAGTACTTATTTATGTTTCAAGAATAATACAAGATCGTTGTAAAAAGACAACAGGTGCTTAAAATAAAAAGTGAAGCTCTCCCTCCTTTCCACTATCGGCAACACACACAGGTGCTTTTGTGTCCATGCAACTTCTTTTCTTTTCTTTTCTATCCATCGCCAGTTGTTTTTTTTGAGTCTAGGCTGGCTTTCAACTCTCCATCCCCCTGCCTCCACTTCCCAAGTACTTTTTTGCCATAACCTCATCAGCAGTGTGTTGCTAAAATGTTGGATTTTTACCAATTTAATAGGTGACAGTTTCTCAGTTTTAATTTGCATCTCTCTTTATCGGGGTGATGAGAGGGCTGTATATCTTTTCATGTGCCCTAGGACCTTTGACATTTCTTTTTTCTGTAGTTGTCCCTGTCTTTGGCCTATTTTTCTGGGGTTGGTGTTCTTTGTTTTTTGCAGGCAAAGGCAAATTCTGAGGCCTAACCCCTGACCTACTAAAGAAGAAACTTTGAGGAGGGCCCCAGCAGATTGCTTAAATTTGAGATTGCCTAAGTTTGAGAATCACTGTTCTAAACCATTTTATTGTCCCTCCTTTCTAACATAAGGCCCTTCAGTTATTAATATATCACTCTAGTTAACATGTCACTGGACTCCACCACCCTTTCTTTTGGTTATAGTCCTCTTGCCTCATCTGGGGGATTCCTGCTGGTGACCACTGTTTGTCTAAGTAACTTCAGTCTACCTTAGATTATCCTTCTAGTACCCTGGCAGTGTAGCTTTTGGCCCTCGTTTGCTCCAGTGGTCTTGTCTGTCTTTACCTTGGTCCTGCATTGACCATGCCTCTGAGGGCAGTGCTTTCCAAACTCTGCCTTATCACAGACCTTAGTGGGAGTGATGTTTCAGTGTTTATTGTAGTGGATGCTGTTAACTTCATGTTCACATGTATTCTAGTCATTCCAACCTCAGTTTCTGAGACAACTTGCTTTTAGTCTATTGAAAGTGTATTACTTTCCTAATAAACTTTGCTGTCATTTTTACTATTTTATTTGTTATTTATTTATTTATTTATTTATTTATTTTTGTAGTACTGGGGTTTGAACGCAGGGCCTGCACCTTGAGCCACTGCATCAGTCCTTTTCTGTGAAGGGTTTTTAAGATAGAGTCTTGTGAACTATTTGCCTGGGCTGGCTTTGAACCATGGTCCTCCTGTTCTCTGTCACCTGAGTAGCTGGGAGTACAGGCATAAGCCACTGGCGCCTGACTTCATATTTACTATTCTTTTTTAAAAAATAGTATTTTTTTATTATTTAAGAAGTTCCTTTGTGGCTGGACACCCGTGCCTCATGTCTACAATCTTAAATACTTGAAAGGCTGACATTGGGAGGATCATGGTTTGAGGCCAACCCTGGCAAATAGTTTGTGAGACCATGTCTCCAAAATAACCAGAGCAAATGAAAGATGAATGATTGTTAGGCATACTATGACTGTTCGGAGAATCAGAAAACCTTATACTGCAGGGCCTTTAGGAATATTGGGTTTATTTTTATTTGTTTTTGGTGGAACTGGGGTTTGAACTTGGCTTTGCACTTGCAAAGCAGGCATTCTACTATTTGAGCCATGTCTCCAGTATGGTTATTTTATAAATGGGGTCTTGGTAACTATGTACCTGGGCTGGCCTCATATCTTGAGCCTCCTGATCTCAGCCTTCAAAGTTGCTAGGATTATAGGCATGAGCCACAGGATCTGGCTAAGGTATTTTTACTGATTAAAGAAAATTGGTCAAGTTGGGTGTGATGGCACATACTTGTAATCCCAGCAGGAGGAATGTAAGTTCAATGCCAGCCTAGGCTACATAGCTAGACCCATCTCAAAAAAAAGAGACAGTTCATACTTAACCAGTTATAGCATGGCACATGCCTGCAGTCTCAGCTACTCAAGAAGCAGAGATAGGAGGCTCCTGGTCCAAGGCCAGCCTGGATAAAAGCACAAGACTCTATCTGAAAAACTAAAAGCATAAGGGCTGGAAGTGTGACTTAAGTGGTAGACTGCTTGTCTAGTAAACCTGAGGCCCTGAGTTCAAACCCCAGTACTGCCAAAAGAAAGAACAAATCTTATATTCAGTTAATGTAATTATTCATATATGTTAAGATCCTGGATCCTCAAGCTCATTGTGTAGCCAGGCAGAGCACAGAGGATTAAGAGCCAAAACAACCTGGGTGTCCTGTGCTTAGCAGGTGAGGACACAGAGCAGGCGATGTGCTGAGTGGCAGCACAGCAGAGTTTAGCCTCTTGACTTCCCTGTCTAGTTCTCTACCGTATTGGTTCGTATATGTCTGGCAGCTTCTTTGTGAGTTCTGGTAATAGCGCAGTGCACCGTTACCATTCATAGCAGTCTCGTCCTAGCTTTGAGGAATTCCACCATTTGTGCCACTTCTGTCATTATGGTATTTTCTGAGAAACTTGGCACATTAGCTGTTACTTTTAGGTTAGACAGAAGCCATGAAAATGATTCAGAAGTGAGTGAGGTTTTAGAACTGTGCAGTGGTTTTACAAATGGTAGTGAGTATTTCATTGGTACTGTTTAATCCCTGCAGCAACTCTTTGGTGAATACTTCTATCACCCCATCTTCCTGATGGGCAAATGGACAATTTAGTGGATTAGAAGCCAGGATATCTGCCTATCTCCATGCTGTGCTGTTGCTTGTAGGAGATAGGCCAGCCATGTGACATTCAACCATTGGTACCTGCACCTAAGTGTGTGCTTAAATTAACTCAAGCTGGAAATCATCACCACATGGTAGACGAAGCACTGTGTAATTTAATGGTTTTTGCAGTCCTTAAAATTTACAACAGAAACATCTCAAAGAAAGTTCTAACTTGTTTAGCAGCAACAAAATTTTAGTTAAAGCTATGTTGTTCTGTTTATTCTTTCAAAATGTTTTTTATGGTATTAGGGTTTGAACTCAGGGCCTTGCACTTGCTAGGCAGGTGCTCTATCACTTGAGCCACACAGTCCTTTTTGCTTTAGTTATTTTTCAGATAGGGTCTTAAGACTGGCCTCAGACCATGATCTTGTGTAGCTGGGATTACAGGGACTCACCATGATGCCTGGCTTATTTGTTGAGATGGGATCTTGCTGACTCTTTGCTCTGGCTGGCCTCAAACCTCAATCCCTCCCAGTTTCTGTCTCCTGAGTACCTGGGATCACAGGTTTGAGTCACTGCGCCTGGTTATACTTTCAAAGCACTTACAATCAATATTAGAAAGAAACTAAAATCTGTTTAGCTGTGTACACGTGGAATGAAAGTCTTCAGTTGAAGCTAGTGGGACCTGAACCCCTTTTATGAAGTGGATAAATAGTGACAGAACATGAGCAGGCTCATCTTAGTTTGGAATTGCCAACTGTATTTGATTTTTTTTCTTTTTTGTCTGGCAGCACTGGAGTTTGAACTCAAGGCCTCACACTTGCTAGGCAGGCGCTTTTACCACTTGAGCCACTCCACCTGCTGCCAGCCATATTTAGAAGTGGTCAGAATCCATAACAGCTTCTCTACCATGTTCCTTACGCTGCTCAGGATGCCATGCAGCATACAGAGGAGATCCCGTCCATCTGCTTTCACTTGCCATTGGAACCAGTCAAGTCTGACACTAAAATAATCTCCCCTTCTTGCTCCACAGTGCATGACGCCTGAGCAGCTGATGACGCTGTGCAAAGCAGGCATTCATAGCAGCAATGTCGGAGTGAGAGTGAATGTCGTCAGCATCTTAGGAATCACGGGCAGTGTCCTAGCCAGAGAGTGTGGGACTCTTGAAACTCTTAAGGTAAAGCAGTTTCTTCTAAGCTAAAATGATCAGTAATGAGGGGAGGTGGAGGGGCTGAGGGGAGTGCCTATTGGTGTAGGGCTTTTAAGAATTTTCGTGGGCATGATGAGAAGACATTGTACCAAGAAATTACTCATTCAGACTGGGTGCCAGTGGCTCACACCTGTAATCCTAGTTACTCAGGAGGCAGAGCTCAGGAGGATCGTGAATCCAAGCCAGCCTGAGCAAATAGTTTGCAAAACCCTATCTCGAAAAAACCCTTCACAAAGATAGGGCTGGTGGAGTGGCTCAAGGTATAGGCCCTGAGTTCAAGCCCCCCCAAAAAAACAACAAAAAACGTTGCTCATTCAGTTATAATATTAGAATGTACCCTTCAGCTTGATGTAGCTTCAGGTAGTATATAAGTACTAAAAAGTCAACCCTCATTTTGCCGTTTAACTCTTTTTGTTTTTTTGCAGTAGTGGGGTTTGAACTCGGGGCCTTGAGCTTGCTAAGCAAATGCTCTACCACTTCAGCCATGCCTCCAGTCCTGCCATTTAACTTTAGTCTGGAAGTGCTTTTTCAAAAATAAATTTGTCTTCAGTGGAAAGCCAAATGCAGAGTTGTTAAAACTGCCTTTTGTTCTTGAGGCTGTGTAAAGTGTTTGTGAGTTGTGTTATCCTGCTGGTGAACAGTCCACCCAGCTTTCCTTGTGTGCCATGGAAGCACATCCTGACAACTACCACACAGGTGATTCTAATGTCACACCAGAATTTGTAAACAACAACTCTGGTAGAGCCAGTCCACTAGGAAGGAATTCACTCGGCAGACAGCAAACCCTTGGTACCTGCTAGTGATGAAAAGCCGCAGATACAGATGCATAGAGTTCAGCACTGTACTGCAGGTGCTTAAGTCATTTTCCCATAATGCTGTACAACTTTCACTACAGACATGCTGCCTTGCAACAAATCTAAGCTTTCCACTTTATCACTTAATCACATTACATGCCCTTTTTGTCTTGGGAGGATTACTATAAATTTTACCTTGCTTTCAGGGCACCATTTAGTTTTGGGGAAGAAGATTTTCACAAAATCAAGGGCAGGGAAACACTTAGCAGATCACATGATTTGAACACAACTGACAGTAATGCAGGATGGACTGAGTTCCTGGCATGAACTAAGCTACATAACGCATGTGTGCACTTTTAAAATTTTTATTTTTGAAATTCCCTTTAATTTTTGTACTTATTTATTTTACCATGCTTTGTCAAAACCACATATAATAAATCCACAAATCGACAGTCTTAACTGTATTTGCACTCAGCAGATACTGTATTTGATCTCAGCATGGTTGCTCAGGAAAAGTACAGAAGCATGCAGTGAAAAGATTCACCTGCACTCCTTACACTTCAGTTCCCCCTTTGCCTTCAGAGGGACAGCCACTGCCACCTGGTCCTTGCTTTCCATGCCAGGAGCTTTTGAGAAGTATGTACAAGTAGAGAGAATGTGGCTACGTGGCATGAATGCGTGCACATATACAGATGAGCACATGTCGTTGTCAAGGGTCACTTTAATGCAACAGCAACACTTTCTCAGATACATGGTTTTATAGTGTCACTTTTCCAAACATGGAAAAAAGTAGAGAAAGTGCAGTGAATTTTGTATACTCATAAACAGATTAAACAGTTAATATTCCATCATATGTATATCATAAAGACAAATTATGGTAGGGCTGGTGGAGTGGCTCAAGCAGTAGACCACCTGCCTAGCAAGCTCAAGCCCTGAGTCAAACCCCAGTACCACCAAAACATTTTTTTTTTTAAAGTTAAAAAGCTGGGCACTGGTGCCTCACACCTGTAATCCTAGCTATTCAGGAGGCAGAGGTCAGGTAGATCTTGATTCCTAGCCAGCCTGGGGAAATAGTTCCTCTAAACCCTATCTCGAAAAAAACATTCATAAAATAGGGCTAGTGGAGTGGCTCAAGGTGAAGGCTCTGAGTTCAAGCCCCAGGACCACAAAAAAAAAAAAAAGGAAAAAGAAAAGAAAAGAAGGTTAAAAATAATTAAAAGACACTGTGTATTCTTCTTATTGGTTGAATATGCATCTCTTACAAAGGGACAGTTTCTTATGTAACTGCCATTATTATGCCTTATAAATTAGTAGCATTTCTTAATAACACCTGGTCCATATTCATAATTTTCTAGTTCACTCAAAAACATACACTGGTAGATAGTTTGTTTAATCCAGTAAATTCCACAAGTTCTGTTTGGTTTCAGTTCTTATACATCCTTTGATCTCAGTAGTTCTCTCCCATACCACTTGGTCCTCCTCACCTCCAAATAAGCATCCCACAGAGTATCCAGCCTTCTGGATTTATCTGATTGCTTCCTCATGTAAACCATGTTCCTCTGTCCTGTATTTCCTGCAAACTGAAGGTTAGACTAAAGTCTGGATTTAAACCATCTTCATAGGTGGTGCTGTAAGCTTCCTGTTACACTCTAGGACATTAAATATGAGGGGCTCTTTGCCTGTCCTGTAATCACCCTGTTCTTCATGGTGCAACTGGGTTTGGACCCAGTGTTCTGAGCATCTCTGCACATACACACACCCGTAAATATCAGGTTGCACATGGCCATGAAAACACATGGCAGAACAGTCAAACTAAAATAAGGTTACTTTGGAACAATTTGCAGATTGGTAGTGATGTGTTTTACCTGGCAAATTATAGGGGTTGAGGGAAAGAGAAGAAAGAGTAGAAGTCAAAAATCAACCAAGAACTGGACACTGATGCTTTGCCTATAATCCTAGCTACTCAGAAGGTAGAGATCAGGAGGTTCAAAGCCAGCCTTAGGCAAATAGTTCAAGAGACCCTATCTCGAGAAAACCCATCACAAAAAAGGCTGGTGGTGTGGCTCAACTGGTAAGAATGCCTGCCTAGCAAGTGTGAGGCCCTGAGTTCAAACCTCATTACCACCAAAAAAAAAAAAACAAGGAAAAAAAGTCAACCAAGATAGTGAAGCAAAATGAGATTAAGTATTGTTGTTTGTGGTACTAGGATTTGAACTCAGGCTCTTGTGCTTGCTAAGCACGCACTCCTCTATTTGAGCCAGGCTTCCAATCCTTTTTTTTTGCTTTAGTTGGTTTTTTTAGGTAGAGTCTCGTGTTTTTGCCCAGGTCTGGCCTCAGACTGTGATCCTCCCACCTATGGCCTCTGTGTATCTTGGATCACAGGTGTGCACCATCATGCCCAGCTTATTGTTTGAGATGGAGTCTCCCTAACTTTTTGCTTGAGCTAATCTTGAATCTTAATCCTCCCAATCTCTGCCTCTCAAATAGCTGGGATTACAGGCTAGTTATTGCACCTAGCATGTTTTTCATATACTTTTGAAAGCAAATTTTGTTGTTTGAGGTAAGATTTCTGTGCATTTAACACCATAGAAAAGGCTTTTTGAGGTAGGTTGAGGAGACACTTTAATGATTTCCAAAATCAGTTTATCTATATCTTTATTGATCTTAGTTCATTTTATTTAGGAGTGTCAACTTTAATGTACTCAATTCATCTTGCTGTTATTATAATTAGTATGTTTACAAATATTTGTCACGTCTTTGGTCCTGTGAAAGTTCCCCTTTCCCTTGGCACTTTTATATAAAATAGTGAGTTATTGGCACACTGGCGTTAGTGCTCCTTTTGGAGACTGATATTAGTCGCGTTATCATGCCTTTCTTGTTTCCAGACCATTGGGTGCTTTCTGCTTGATGTTGCCACCAAAGACCCTTCCCTTGTTGTAGCAGGAGAAGCTTTGGATGCCCTCTTTGATGTTTTTGCAGACGGTGAAGAAGCTGAAAGGGCCTCAGTTCAAATTAAACTGTTATCTGCTCTGAAAGAATTCCAACCAGTCTTCAAAACGAAGGTTCGTAGCTGCTTTATTTATAAACACGTAAGTCTCATTCTTTAGGCAGGGGGGCATGTCTGCCTGTAAAGGCATGTGCGTGACAAACTCCTATAATCTCTGTGATTAGCAGCACTTCACCCCAGTACCTTGCAAGTGCAGTTGACTGAGTCATAACTGCAGTAACTTTTGGATCATTGGAGTTAGAACCGAATGGCTCTGACAAGCTCTTCATTTCTTCAGCAGCTTAGTAATGTTAACAGTGTGTTCCTTTCGCATGTGTAAATGCTGTAGTCTGTAGTGTTCTGAGTTCCTTCAGATACATCTTTATTTTATGTCATGTAGTAGTTATATCTTGGTTTCATTGTTGGGGATATTTGTTTTAGGAAAAAGAATAAACTTAAGGCTGTTGTGTATTGGAGAATGTAGCTACATAATGGCTTCATTAGCCATTTTATTTAGTTATGGGGGTGAGTAGGAGACCAACCCAGAGTTTTATTTTATTTATTTATTTTTGGTGCTGGATGTGGAACCCAGGGCCTTGCTCATGCTAAGCACATGCTGACCACTGAACCATGCCCCCAGCCTCTAGAAACTAAAAACACTTGAATTGTATTATTCTCCTCCTAGTCTAAATCTCAATTTTAGAATTAAATCATGTTGAGAATTACTTTATCCTTTTTTTGGTGAGGTGGGGATTTGAACTCAGGCTTCATGCTTGCAAAGCAAGCACTTTACCACTTAAACCCCTCCTCCAGTCCATTACTCTGGTTATTTTTGAAGATGGAGTCTCTCAAACTGTTTGCTTGGGCTGGCCTTAAATGGAGATCCTGCCAATCTCAGCCTCCCAAGTAGCTGGGGTTGCAGGCATGTGTGCCCATCTACCTTTTTAATTTTAGACTTTTTTCCTTTTTACCGTGCAAGTTCTGTACTCCTGAGGTGCATCCCCAGCACTATAGTTCAGATTTTTTAATTCTTTATTATCATATATTAATTGTACAAAAGGATTTTATTGGGATGTTTTCATTCATACATGTAATGTACTTTGACCAAATTCACCCCTTTATTAGTCTTTCTTATCCCCTAGACATTTTTTTTCAGTACTGGGGGTTGATCTCGGACCTTGTGCTTGCTGGGCCTTAGCCACTGCACCAGCCCTTTTTTGTGTTGATTGTTTTTGAGACAGAGTCTCACTTTGTGCCCATGCCGGCCTGGACCTTTTTTCTCCCATTTGTGCTTCTCTGTGTAGCTGGGATGACAGGTGTGTGCAGCCACTCCCTGACATTGGCTGAGGTGGGGGTGAGGGGGTCTCACAAACTTTTTTCCCAGGCTGGCCTCGAACTGAGATCTCCTGATCTTTGCCTTCCAAGTAGCTAGGATTATAGGCTTATGCCACCTCACCAGTCCCTCCTACCTCCCATTCTCCAGATTTTAAATTAAACTTTTGCTTCTAAATCTTTTGTTAAGAGAATAGAGGTTTTGATGAGAAATTTGCTTCCCCTGTTTTTGTTTTATTTCTTTTATTTAACAAGTACCTGACCTAGAATTTATTTCTCTTAGAACTCTATGATAAGTTTAATATTTTTTCCCAGTTCCAGCCTGTTAGTTGATTCATTTATATATTTGCAGATAGGGCCTCGCGTGTCACCCATACTGATCTTCCAGCTGCTCCCAGCTCCTGTGCTTCAGTGACCCACCTGTCTCCTTCTGAGTAGCTGGCACTACAGGCTCACCCGCAATTTTTTTTTTTATTTTATCATTTTTACATTTACTCACATGTATACATTGTTTGGGCCACCTCCCCGGCCCCCTTCAATCGTTTTTTGCAAGGCAAAAACACTCCCACTGACCCTATACACCCCAGCCCCTGAAAAAAATTTGAGGCATAAGAAAAAATGGCAACTTGTTTTATCTGAAATCAGTTTTGTTTTAAGAACATTAATATTAATAAGATGGTTAATGACATCAGTCATGTTTTAGCATGTTATATTTTAAAACTTGGCAACAATGGCTGCTGTTTTTAACCTTCACAGAAGTAAGTGACTGTTGTGAATGAAAAAGAAATAAAGTGAACAGTATACTCTCAGCTGGGTGCCAGTGGCTCACACCTGTAATCCTAGCTACTCAGGATGCAGAGCTCAGGAGGATCAAGTTTTGAAACCAGCCTGGGCAAATAGTTCAAAAGACCTTAGCTCTAAAAAAAAAAAACTTCACAAAAAGGGCTTGTGGAGAGACTCAAGGCATAGACCCTGAGTTCAAGTCCCAGTACCTCAAAAAAAGTGAACAGTATACTCTCAATTATGCTTTGTTCAAACCTGTCATGTTTTGTTTGCTTGTTTTGTAAACAGTGAGAGGTTTTATTGCCACTATTCCTTGCCTCACATGTAACCAAGTTGAATGATGTTTCTTTAAGCAAAAACAAATGTACTTTAGTATTTCTTTTATTATCCAAAAAGCAACACAGTATAGTCAGAGTACTTGTGTTTTTACTTAACACTGCATCCAAGAGATATTTTCATATCAGTAACGGAGGGTGTCCCACATTGTTCTTAAAAGCTGTGGGCCTGCTGGGCACTGGTGGCTCACGCCTGCAATCCTAGCTACTCAGAGACAGCAATCAGGATATCGAGGTTCAAAGCCAGTGAGTCAATGCCCTGTATAGCTATCCTTATCTCAACCAGCAAAAACCCTTGTTCCTTCCTACTATTGCTTATACTCTCTCTACAACAAAATTTGAAATAAGGGCAAAATAGTTTCTGCTGGGTATTGAGGGGGCTGGGGGGAGAGGGAGGGAGCGGAGTGGATGGTAAGGGAGGGGGTGGGGGCATGGGGGAGAAATGACCCAAGCCTTGTATGCACATATGAATAATAAAAGAAAAAAAAGCCAGCCCCGGCAAATAGTTCCTCAAGACCCTATCTTGAAAAACCTTTCACAAAAATAGGGCTGGTGGAGTGGCTCAAGATGAAGGACCTTAGTTCAAGCCCCTGTACTGCAAAAAAAAAAAAAAAAAAAAAGCTATAGGATCTTTAAACTTTTAGAAAGGAGCCTGCCAGATAAAGAGTAGAAAACAATCCCTATTTCTCTGCAGCTGCCAGGAAAGCAGATGTAGGTAAGAGTCATCACAACTCTACAGAAGGGCTGGGGGTGTGGCTTGGCCTGGGTTCCATCCCCAGCCCCCAAAGCAAAACAACTAAAACTGCAAAAAGCAAATGCTTAGAAAGGAGTTATGTAAACTATGAATTGGGAAAATAACCCCAAACCTCTGAAGGTCTGTTGTTGGGTTGATTTTCCTAATTAGTATGCATTGCTATAGTAGTAATATTTCATTTTTCTCTTCTCAAAGCTAGTAAGTCCTAATGAGCCGAGCCCCAGTGGTTCATGCCTGTAATCCTAGCTACTCAGGAGGCAGAGATCAGGAGGATTGCAGTTTGAAGCCAGCCCAACCCAAGCAAATAGTTCTGTGAGACCCTATCTCAAAAAACTCTTCACAAAAATAATGCTGGTGGAGTGGCTCACAGTGAAGGCTCTGAGTTCAAGCCCCAGTACCTCAGAAAAACAAAAAAAAAAGAAGAAAATCCTAATGAAATTTGTTAGCCAAAAGGCTAGCCTACACTTTTCAATTCTTGTTTGGTTTTGGTTTTGTTTGTTTATTTTTCAGTATTGGGGATCAAACCCAGGGCCTCATGCAAGCTAGGCAAGCACTCTACCACTGAGCTATGCTCCTAGCCCTAGCCTTCAGGGTTTTTGTTTTGTTTTGTTTCAGGGATTTTTTTTTGGACAAGGTCTCACTGTGTAGCCTCAAATTCACAATCCTCCTGCCTCAGCCTCCCTCCTGCTGGGATTATGGATGTGTAACACCACACACCGCAGTAACTGTAGAGTTTTTTATATGAAGCCCTTTTGTGGAAAATGGAGCCACATTAAAGGCTATCCAGTACATATTTGGCCTCTAGTTGCATTTAACTAAAATACCATATGGTATAATAAAACTTACCTATTAGGCATTGGTGCATGCCTAAAATCTAAGCACTTGGCAGACTGAGGCAGGAAGATCTTGAGTTTGGGGCCAGCCTGGGCTACATAGTGAAACACTGTCTAATTAAAAAAAAAAAACATGCCAGGCACTGGTGGCTCGTGCCTATAATTTTAGCTACTCAGGAGGCAAAGATAGGAGGATTTCAGTTTGAAGTCATCCTGAGCAAATAGTTCACAAGACCCTATCTCAAAAAAAAAATTACAAAAAAGTGGCTCAAGGTGTAGGCCCTGAGTTCAAACCCCAGTACCACCAAAAAAAAAAAAAAAAAGGCAACTTATCTAAAGCATTGTTTCTCAAAGGTGCTTCCTCCTACCAGCAGCATCAGTCTCACCTGGTACCTTGTTTGAAATGTGAGTCTCAGTTTCTGACTTACTGAGTCAGAAACTCAGTGGATGGGCTCACCAGTCCCTTTTTAGCACACCTTTCAGGTGATGTTGTTACACTAAAGTGAGAGCCACTCTTTGGGAGGTGAGACAGAATTCACATGCCATAAAATTCATTCTTTCAATTTGTTTTTGGTGGTACTGGGGTTTGAACTCAGAGCCTCACACTTGCTGCGCAGGCACTCTACCTCTTGAACCACTCCACTAGTTCTAAAATTCACTCTTTTGAAGTCAACAACTCAAAACATTCTAAATTTATCTTTACTTTTCGTGTACTATACTCTTCTTACCCTGAAAATAAAGCTGTTCCACCAAATTCTTGAAACTGTCTTATTTATAATATGGTTAAATGTATCCCAAATTAAATACTTTCTTGATTTAAATGAATTAGTAATAACACCAAATCATGTATGATTTTGTTTGGTTTTTTGGGGTTTTTTTTACAGATACGAAAAGAAGGGAGAGGTAAATACAGTCCAGATCAGCTGTGTGTCCTCGACAACGTGAAGATGAATTTGAGAAGGTTTGTTGCTTATCAAGAAACTGTTGAGAAAAGACTGACTTCTTGAACCATCTAGAGAGAATCTACAGCTGAGGGCATAGCTCAGTGATAGAGCCTTGTGGAGTGTATGCAGGCCCTGGGTTCCAAGACCACAAAAAGAGAGCGAGATTAGTTCTTCTCCAAATTATTTGATGCTGAGAGTACTAAGGAGTTTCCTTTGAGTGTATGCTTCAGAAAGCAATTTTTAATGCCCATATTCTGGACAGACATTATATTGAAATTCACAAAATCTTTAAAACTTGTCAGAAACGTGTGTAGGCCTTGGAATCTAAATATGTTTCTAGTGTTTGCTCTGTTATGTCTTCAGCATATTTTAATCACTGGGAACAAAGAGTGGAGATGCAAAGCAATCTCAGGTGGTCCTTTTTTTTTTTTTTTTTTAATGATACTGGGGATGGGGCCCTAGGGCCTTGTGCTTGCTAAGCAAGCACTCTGCCACTGAGCTATAGGTGGTTCTTAACTAATACGTGGTCAGTAAAGAAACGTCAAACAATCACATCCTTGAATTTTGCAAGAAAAATGTAAGTCATTGCTTGGGTACTTTTTAAAGTCAATATCATTTTATATTAGATGAATTTTTAGCTGAAACATGAAAACAAGCTTTATAAAATAATTTTTACCATGATGTACTGTATACCAATTATGAACCATTTGTGAAGAAGTAAATGAGCTGAATTTGGTGTCATCCTTAGTGTGACATTACTGAGCTATGAGGTGATTGCCATCCTCTGTACAGCAGGTCTGATCAATTATTGCTTGTAACCTCACTCCTTGATTTGACTTGATATAGAATCAGAATTGGTAGAAAATATTTTGAATAAATAACTTTTTAATTGAAAGTTTGGTGTCTTACAGATTTTTTTTTTTATCATTTTTACATTTACTCAATTTACTCACATGTGTATTCATTGTTTGGGCCACCTCCCCACACACACACAAATTCTTTTTGATAGTACTAAATACACCTATTCCTGGCTGGCTTGCTTCATAAAACAGCTTACAGGAGGACTTTCCAGCCTTACTCTCAGTGTCCTTGAAGTGGGGCTTGAGGTGGGAATTTCTGAGCATGTCACTGTCTGAAAGGGGTCCCTGGACTCCATATCCACCATTCATCATCAGAGTTGTCAGTGGAAATTTGAAATTTTCCTTACAGTTGATCTCAGTAGTCCTGATAAAAAGCTCAGTACCCCATATAGTACTTATGTCCCCACTTCTCCAGCTGTGTAAAATGACCTAGTGGTGTTACATTTCAGGTGCACTGTGGCATATTTTAGTTTTTGCCTGTCTGGTGTAGACTAGTGACAAGCCCAGGTTATTTCCCAGCTCTAAGGAGTTGTTGAGCCCATGAGACTGAGTCAAATAACCAGGCCTTCCATGTGGGTGGGAAAATGGGAGGAGCCCGCCATACCCAAAGTTCCTTTCTGCTTACTGTGCCCCTGGATCTTGATTGGGGTGTGTGTGTGTGTGTGTGGTGATCAGTGCAGCCAAATCACTGACCCAGGTTTTTTATACCATGTGTTCTTGAGAAGTATAGCTTAAGAGCTCTCTCTACATCAAGTAAGTTTCAGTTTCCCCTTTTTTCTGTGGTACTGGGGATTGAGCCCAGAGCCTTGCACTTGCTTTAAAGCACTACTTGAGCTATACCCCCTAGCCCTTTTTGGTCTTACTTTGTTTTTGAGATAGAATCTCAATAACTTTACTCAGGCTGGCCTCAAACTGCAGTCCTCCTGTCTCCACCTCCCAAGTAGCTGGGATTTTAAGTATGCACCACCACACCAGGCTTATACAGGTTTCCAAGGAAAATAAAATCCCCAATTCTATTCTTTCCCCCATACTTTCCAACCTTTGAAAAGTATGCAGACTCAAACACAGGCCTAGTACATAGTAAGTTCTTAGTATTTGTTGAACGCATGTGTGCTAGTGAGATTTTATTTTGTTAGGCTGTTGTTCAGTCATCCTACAGAACAGTACAAGGTGAGTTATTCCACTGAAAGTGCCATCCTGAAAGCCTCCCAGATTCTAAGGCGTATATACTTTGGCCCACGTTGCTACTATTCAGCTTTGTCACTTGCTTAGTACATCATATAAGTATTGTTTATGGGACAATGGAGACTGGTTTTTCCCAAAGGGAAAAAGTCTGCTTTAAGATAGTTTCTTTTCTTAAAAGGTGTCCAGAACAATGCACTAGAACTATACTATTTTAAGTATCGGAATATGAATTCATGAGATGCTGGGGTTTATTTGTTTTTGTTTTTTTGTGGGACAAGGGTTTGAACTCAGGGCTTCTTGCTTACAGAGTAGATGCTTACTACTTGAGCCACATCTCCAGTCCATCTTTCTCTGGTTATTTTGGAGATGGGATATCGCAAACTATTTACCTTGAACTATGATTCTCCCAATTTCAGCCTCCCACATAGCTAGGATTACAAATGCGAACCACCAGTGCCTGGCGAGACAAGAGCCTCCTGTGTTGCCAGGCTCTGGTGGCTCATACCTGTGATCCCAGCTACTCAGAAGTCAGAGAGCAGGAGGATCATGGTTCAAAGCCAGCCCTGGACATATAGTTCACCCTATCTGAAAAACACCCAATACAAGAAAGGGCTGGCGAGTGGCTGAAGTGGTAGAGCACCTGCCTAGCAAGTGTGAGGCCCCGAGTTCAAGCCCCAGTACCACCAAAAAGAAAATTTTAAAAAATGTTTATGTTGAAACCTGACTGAGATCTCAGGACCAAGGTACCCATTGCCTATAAACTCTTCAGATCTTTAACCCTAACCAATCCAGAAGCAGCAATGACTTCTTGTGGATGCACTCCTCCCCGCTTGACATTATCTTGCCTTCCTATCTGTAGCCAATGAAGTGTATGGGGCTTTCCTTCCCCTGTAGAAAACATGCTCCCTGCCCTTGTCAAGACATTTCCCAGTGGCTCCCCAGCCCCACTGCAGGGAGTTCAGACAGATTTGTTCTTTTCCCGGCTAGCATCCATGACAGTCCATAAACCCTTTTAAGAATTACACTTTTCCTGTTACCTGCTCCATTTCAGTCATGGTAATTAATGTCATATGTTTAACAAACACCTCAATGTCCCAGTATCTATACACATTTTTTTTTCCTCAAATTACAGTTCCATGCAATTTGGTGTCACTTTGAGGAATCTAGGACCCCCACCTTGTGCAGGCTTCTGCCATCTTGAAGCCCTTTTCTTTCACCCTTATGACTGGGTAGGTAGAAGAGTGACTTAAAGATCTTACTTAAAAAAATTTATGGCCAACTTTCAAGGTGGCAAAAACTATTTCTGCTTACATTCTGTTAGCCAAAGCTGTTGTGTGTGACCACACACACCAACCTAAACAGGAAGGAAGGCTGGGAGATGTAATCTTGGTCTGCACCCCAGAAGAGGAGACAGGACTTGCCTCACATACAAATGGACAGAAGTGGGTCACTCACCTCTTCTTCTGACAGAGGGAATGGAATTACCATGACAGGGCTTATCAAAATCACTTCTGTGTGAGTCTAGAAGTCTCCCACACTGCAATCAAAACAGCATGTTAGCCAGGCCTACTCAGAAGGCAGAGAGCAGGAGGATCACAGTTTGAAACCGACCCCAGACAAATAGTTTCACAAGACCCTATCAAAAAAACCCATCAGTAAAAAGGGCTGGTGGAGTAGCTAAAGTAGTAAAGTGCCTGCCTAGCAAGTGTAAGGCCCTGAGTTCAAACCCTAGTAAAGTCAAAAAACAAAACAAAAACAAAAAAACCCTGGAGACTTTATCTTCGAAAAACCCATCACAAAAAAGGGCTGGTGGAGTGGCTCAAGGTGTAGAGGCAGAGCAGAGGACTCCAGCATGCTCTGCAGCCCTGAAAAACAAGACAAAATCAAATTACAGTAGGTTAAATGCAAAAGCTACAATGTTGGAGTCATTTGCAATCACAGAAGGGACCTCTAACCCTGTCATTTTAATCTAATTTTTTATGACATTACAAAAATTTATTTTTGATAAGCATGTACAATGGCTCAGGCCTGTAATTCCAGGTACTCAGGAGTTGAAGATAGGGAGAATCACCCACTGAGGGCAGCCCCTGGGCAAAAGAGAAAAAAAAAAAAAAAGGTGAGGGCTGCTGGAGTGGCTCAAGTGGTAGAGTGCCTGGGTAGCAAGCATGAAGCCCTGAGTTCAAGCCCCAGTTACCACAAAAATAAATACACAAATAAACTGAAATATGGTAATGGTAGCAGGAAGTCATTCATTCTTCAAAAAGTGAATAAATGAGCACTACAATTGGAAAAAAAATGGCAGGTGAAAACAACCTAAAGTCAAAAGGGCTTGGAGATGGGGCATAAGTTGTAGGACCTTGCCTAGCCAAACTTGAGTACCACCATCACCACCAAAAAAAAAGTTCTGGTTTAAGCCAGTTGATTCCTGTTTTCTGTTATTTGTATGAAATGAAAGTTAAAGCCAGACACTGGTGGCTCATGCCTAAGGTACTTGAGAGGCTGAGATTGGGAGCATCGAGGTTCGAGACCAGCCTGGACAAATAGTTTGCAAGACCCCCCCCCCATCTCCAAAATAACCAGAGCAAAATGGGATGGGCATATGACTCAAGTGGTGGAGCACCAGCTTTGCAAGTGTGAAGCCCTGAGTTCAAACCCTAGTCCCCACTCCCTCTCCCCAAAGAATACAAGTGAAAGCTATATGATCATCTTAATGCAGAAAAAGCACTTGACAAAAATCTAAAATTCTCTGCAAACTGGGAATCTCTCCCAATCTTTCAAAGACCTTCACCAAAAAAAAAAAAAAACCTACAGCTAACATGATAGTGAGAGATGAGTGACTGCCACCTAAGATCAGGAACAAAGGATTCTCATTCTCACCATTTATATTCCATATCATAGAAGATGGCAATCCTAACCAGTGCACTGAGTCAAATGCAGAAATAAATAGAAGACAAGCAATTGGAAAAGAAAAAGTAAGACCACCTTTATTTGCAGTTGATGTGAATATAGAAAATCCTAGGGAACATTTTTCAAAAAACTGCTTGGGCCAAGTGCCCATGGCTCACTTCTGAAATCCCAGCTACTGTGGAGACAAAGATCAGGAGGAAAAAGGTTCAAAGCCAGCCTGAGCAAATAGGGCAAGACCCTATCTCAAAAAAAACCCTCACAAAAAAGGACTGGTGGAATAGTTCAAAGTGTAGGTCCTGAGTTCAAGTACCCAAAAAATACAAAACAAAAACCTGCTAGAGCTACTAAGTGAATTTAGCAAGGCAATATACAGAAGCAATATGCAAAAAAAGTCAGCTATATTTCTAAATACTGGTAATGAACAATCCAAAAGGAAATTAATATACAATTATATTGTAATAGCTTCCAAAATATATGTTGGAATAAATTTATAGAAGATACACTGTATCTGTACACTAAACATTACAAAACATTGCTGAGAGAAATTGAACAAAACTTCCGTGGAGAAACATAGCATGTTCATGGGTTGGAAAATGGCATTTCTGCCCCAATGAGTTTTTGGGTTTGCTTTTGGTTTTGTTTTGCGGTTCTGAGGATCAAACTCAGGATGTCTCACAGGTTAGGACACACTGGGGTATAACTCTAGCCCCTAACCTGACTTATTATCTCAACACAATCCCAGTTAAAATCCCAGCAGTCTTTTAAGTGGAATTGACAAGTCCATTCTAAAATTTATATGGAAAAGCAAAGAGCATAGAATATCTAAAACAACCTTTTTTCTTTTTTGTTTGATTTTTCAAAATAACTTAAAAAAAGAAAAAGTTGGAGTACTCACAGAACCTGATTTTATTTATTTATTTTTTTTT